AATTTCAGTAACGAACGCTTCTGTGAGACCAGCCACTGCTGTTGCGCCTTCTTCCTCATCTCCTTCAAAATCTCCCACGAGGCTCTTCCGTGACAGTCCTTTGAAGCACCTCAAGAACAAGATGTCATCCATTCTCAGCACTTCCAAGGGTCTGATCGCCAGCAGCGCAGCTCTGAGCGCTGAAGGCAAATCATCCCTGCTCTCGCCATCTCGAGCTCAGCTTGGAACTTACCCCGGTCCTTCTTCGGAATCAATCGTCCCTAAGGCAAGCATTGACTCCCATAGAAGTGGCGATACTGTCACCGACCAGCAGTCGACTGCACCTCGACCGGTTGCTAAGCGCACAAGGGCTTCGGTGGAACGCGAGAAGGAGGAGAAGCGAAGGGAGAAAGAGGCTAGAGTCCAAGCTGAGCAGATGGAGAAATTGGAGAAGGAGCGAGAAAAGGAAAGGGAAAAGGCCAGAGTTTTCAGCAAAGAGCAGGAGAAGCTTGCCAACATGGAAAAGCAGGTTGCTGCCAGGAAAGAGGTTGAAACACCTGCTCCCAAGGCTACACCTAAACCAACACGAACGAGTCCGCGAAGGGCAAAACCTCAGGAGGAGCCAGAGGCCAATGTCGCTGAACAGGATCTTGATATGGGCGATGCACCTGCTCTGGTACCCCCTCCTTCAGCTCACAGATCCGCCGTGCCTGGCCAACTATCTCGCCCCAAGGAGATGAGGCGAATCGCGAAGCCAGGCCGGGAGCCAGCTACGAAGACAAAGGCGACACCCACCGTTCACATCAAGGTCAACACTGGCTCACAGTTACATCCTGGTAACTCTGTGGCCAATGGCTACCAGGACTTCAGTGCATCAACAAGCTCCCAACCTCCTCAAACGATCAGCAAGGCAAGCAAGGCCTCTACCCAGCCCAAGCAATCAGCACCAAATTTTGGTGCTTCTACCGGATCAAATGGCCGGCCTAGGGCTCTCGATCTGGCTGCACAGAAGAAAGCCAAGATTGAGCGCGATCGCGCAGCATTGAAGGACGACAAGAAGAAGCAAGAAGCCATACGCCGTCAAGAGGAAGAACGACAAAAGCGCGAGAAGAATGCTCAGCGTCAAGCAGCTCAAGACCGACTGGCAATCATTGAGAAGGCCAAGAAGACTCCTGCGCCGCCCCCAGCTGTTCGGTCACAGCCAACTGGTCCTCCTCAGTACAGCCTACAACAGGATAAGTCTGCTTCGGTACAGCGAGAAGGACAACCTCGTCCTCCTTCTCGTATGAACTCTGGAATCTTTAGGTCGCAAGATGATATGGGACGACCCGTCAATGCTAATTTGACGAATGGTTCTAAATCTGGCCCCAAGAGACCCCTTCGAGATGCTAATGAGGATGGACCTTCAAGACCTCCACCTGCACGTGGGCCTCAATACCAGGCAAAGGATGCCAAGCGTCGTCGAACGAGCGATGACTATGCTGATGAGCTTGATATGGAGCAGCCTCCTAATATCAAGGGACCCCCAGTTCGTCCATCCAGCGCTCTTAAGAGGGTGAGCAATCAAAGCGTTTCTTGCATTCCAACAAAGGTTAACAAGTACCAGGATCTGCAGACGAAGACTCTCACGAGTGGGTATGTTCCTCAGGCTAGCGCGCAGAATCTGTTCAAGATTGGCGTTCCTCAGAGTCAAATGAAGGGAGGCAACCCTATGGATATGGCTCAGATTCACAAAGGAACTATTCCTTTCGCCCCGAACCCCAACCCGGCGGGACCTTCTTACAAGACACCTGGACGTCCCGGCCCTGTCAATGGAATGAAGTCTGCAGCTAAGTCTGTACCAAGATCATCACCGCGATTCCAGAATGGCGAGGCCATTGAGCTTCCTGAGATCCAGACAGACGATGAGGATGAGGACGATGATGAACCACAAGCTGGTACAGTTGCAGCATGGGCTAACTCCCCTTACATTCGTGATGCCCTCTTCAGACAGGAAGATATTGACCCTGCGTCAATTTTTGGACCTCCAGCGCCACTGAACATGGAGGAGGTATTTGACAAGAGCAAAGACAGACACCACAAGTTCCGTGCCCGAACATCCAGTGCCAACTGGAGCGGCACCGATCGTCTCACTGAAGAGGACATTCGAAAGAACCTGGCTGCCAGAGACAAGCTCAGACGTGAGGGAGGCTGGTCTTACGAACTGAGCAAAGATATGATGTAATGGCTGATGGTGGACACATGCATATGATACGGATACTTGATGAAGTCAATTGGGTGTTCAGAGGGATTAAGCTTAAGAAGCGGCAGTATGGCTACATTAATGAATCGGGAAAAAAGGGAGCGATTGATTGACTCTGGTCGAGTTTGGTATATGGACATCGATGCAGCTGATTGAGCGCATTTGTGATAGATGAGATTGCATTTTGACAATGGTTGGTTTCTGGTTTGGCGCATGGCGAAATGGGATAGGGTGCTTATGAAGGCTACCGAGGAAGAAATGAGCGTTTAGTCAAGCAAGACGTATCTCTTTGAGCGGCACAAGGCATCAAAGAAGTCAATCGCCCCACTTGACCCCACGTACAGCGAGTCTACATAAGATAGGTGAGGCTGTCTCCAAAAGGGCTGTATTTCTCTGTAACTGGTCTACCTCTATTACAGTATAGCCTCTTTTTTAAGCCTATTTTATTGGCTTCTATCTTTCTCAAGCTATCCTTATTGGCTATCAGTCTTCTATATACAAGCTGGTCTGTATTGGCAGAATTAATTCCTCTGGTTGGCTCGTTACCCCTGTATTGACCGCTTTGATGCCTTGTGCCGCTCAAAGAGATAATATCGCATGCATGGAATACATTTTTGGGGCGTTTGTACATTCAATTATCCGACTGAGAAATATTATATGGCTCTGAGGAAGTCCGATTGCTTGTGATGCTCATGAGTATTAGTAGTTAAGTTATAAATAGCTTTCCAGCCTCTCCAAGGGGAAACAAGGTTGACTTACCTTTAGGTTTGCTCATGATAATTCCCCACCAAGAAACGAGGCGCTATTGGAAGATCAACCTTATCTGCAGATGCAAAAGCCATGGTCTCAACAAAATTTTAGTTAACCGTTTTCACATGTCAGAAGCAGGACGGAATAGGACCCAGAAAAAAAAATGATAAGGGACTGTAGGCGAGGCGAGGCGAGACCTCGTGCAAGATTCTATTTGATGCGGTTGTTTCATGATATAGAATTCGTTCCTTTTTCCTTTGACTTTTCTCATCTGATGCGTTTGTCATGAGGCTTTTATGAGGAGGTTACCCTTACTTAAAAGTCAAACCATACTGCCTGACAACATTCAAATCATGACTGGTTAGACATAGGCCTCACTTCATCACTGAGTTGACCCGACCCGACATTCTATCGTCTTCACTGTCACTCTCCCGAGACCTCATCCTTTAGCCTGCAGCTCTTGAAACATGGCGTCTCATCTCAGATCATTTGCGCCATCTTTGGACGAGATCAAAGTCGATCAAATCACCGAAAGCAGGATCTTCAACGTCGTCTCCATGCTTCCAAACTCACTTCCCGGTCCAATCCGTTTTCTCAGGCGGAGTATCAGCTTTCACACTCTACGTCCAGGTGTGACAATATCTGGGTCACAAACAAAACCTCGGCCTCTTTCAGAAGCTGATGTCTCGGCTACAATGACCCAGCCACTCCAGACGGACATGGTAAAGCACTCGGGTAGATTTGTAGAGTCACAAGATCTTAGTCCCCAGCCGATGAGTCGAGTCCTCTATTCGGAAGCTCCTGAGGATGAGCCGGTTATGCGAGCTGCGTCTGGCGTGCATTGGAAGTTTGCACGACAGGGTAAGTTACTTTATATACTCACCAATAAATGTAATTTGCTGACCATGGTGCAATAGGAACAAATCTTGTCAACATCTCTATAGATGGAGGCAAAGCTGCTGTAGCAGAAGAAGATATCGCTTTTGAGCGAAAAGCCTTTGTTGATGGGGTGACATATCTTCTCAAAGCTCTCCCGCAAGAACTTGATGAAGGCGAACTCAAGCGGATTCAATGCGCTTTACCAGACCAAGTCAACCAGTCTGATATGGCTCTGACTCGAGCAGAACCCGACTCAACCCGCATTCATCCAAGTCAACCCCGTTCAATTATTCACCGTGGAGTCCAAATGACAGTTGTCAATCTCATCTTCTTTCTCAGCTTCCTAATGCCATATCTGCTATTACTCGTCAGATGTGCAGCTCGACTGGAGCGCAAGTACAAGATCTCCGAGAAGCTCGTAGGTCACGGGGTGGACTTGGTCAACTCGATTGGCAAGCAAAGCGCTTCATTGACTGAAGCAATAGGTCAGATGAATGATGGCAAAGTTGCTCAGGCTCTGTTGGAGGTATTCGTTTGGATTGTTGATGGTGTAACTCAGGGTATCTCGGATGGACTCGGGGAGGGTCTGTCGATGGTGGGGTCGAAATCAAAGATGAGTGGCTAGGGTCTAGAAGCTGCTGGAGAGAACTTGCATCAGAAGGAGTTATCATTGAAGAATTAGAATAGATATAGAAGAGTGGTCATTGGCTGGCGGAGTTTTGTTTTAATACTGGCAGTTACATAGCATAAGGTAATAAAAATTGCATGAGACCATAAAATAACTGTACTCGGGGATTTTCTTCATCTTCAACACTGAGCTAGTGGCAATGCTACAGGACCCTTACAGCCTTTTGCCTCTGGCCCGGTGCTGACCTCCAGTGGAGCACGTGACAGATCCGGGATCTAACCCAGTCAGGGTAGAGCCTCGCTGCCAATTAGACGATAAGATAAGGTAGCGCTGTAAAAAATTCATTTTTCCCAAAAGTAGCGGCGCGCGACCCTTGGACGCCCGCCAGTCTTTATCCAACTTAATCTTCTCTCATATCATCCTCTTTTCTCCCCTCCTTCTAATTCTTGCTTCTGTGTTTGTAGTTCTATCAATCGCAGAACCGGAATCTCAGCGTCAATTCTGTCTTTAATACCCGGCATCATGTTTCGATCCAGCCTTAGGCGCTGTGCCACTCAGGCCAGGTCCGCCGCTACAGCTGCCCTCCTCACACAGACTCGAGCCGCATTGCCTGTCGTCCGCCGTCAGGTTTTGACAAATCAGTCTTCTATCGCTGTCATCAGCCGAATTGCTTCCATCACACGGGCGTACAGCACCGAGGCTGTCGCTGAGCAGAATGAGCCTGCCCCTTCAGCTGAAGCTGAGCCTGAAGTTCGCTTCTCCGAGCTCAAGGGCATTCACCCCAACCTTCTCAAGACCATCATCGACGACATGAAATACGATACCATGACACCCGTCCAGGCCAAGACTATCAAGCCTGCTCTCAAGGGCACCGATATGTGAGTTTTGTACTTGAAGAAATGATTGTACATCGGCTAACATTTAACCAGCGTCGCTCAAGCCAAGACTGGTACCGGAAAGACTATTGCATTCCTTCTTCCTCTCCTGCAAAGAATGATTGAGGAAGATAGCACACTCGCCGACAGAAATGCTAGACGTCAAGCCCGATCTGATGATATCCGTGGAGTTATTCTTTCTCCCACCCGAGAGTTGGCCGAGCAAATCGCCGTTGAGGCTCGCAGATTGGTTGCACACACTGGTCTCGTCGTCCAATGTGCCGTTGGTGGCACTGACAAGCGCGGCATGCTTAACCAGACTCGACGACAGGGCTGCCATCTTCTTGTCGCTACTCCCGGTCGTCTGAACGATCTTCTCCAGGATCCCAACAGCGGCATTGATGCTCCCAATCTGGCTGCTCTGGTCTTGGATGAGGCCGACCGAATGCTCGATGTCGGCTTCGAAAGAGAGCTCAACGAAATCATCCAGTGCCTTCCCCGACCTGAAGAAAAGGTCCGCCAGACCATGCTCGTTTCTGCCACAATTCCCGACAGTGTCATCCGCCTGGCTCGCAACATGGTCAGGGCCAACGACTTCGAGTTTGTCCAAACCATCCCCGAGAACGAGTCCCTTACCCACGACAAGGTTCCTCAGCATATCGTCCCCGTCTCTGGCTGGACTCAGGTGTTCCCCTCACTTTTTGAGCTTCTGGAGCGTGAAGCCGCAAAGATCAAGGAAACCCCTGGTGCCATGCCCTTGAAGGCTATTGTCTACTTCAATACCACCGCTTTGGTCGAGTTAGCTGGCGAGCTGTTTTTCCAGCATCGCCAGAATGCCAAAAACGACGGCAGCCCTTATTTCTCTTCCTACGTTCTCCAGTCAAAGCTGACTCAACAACAACGCCAGAAAGCTGCTGATAGATTCCGCGAGGCCAGATCCGGTGTCCTTCTTTCTTCTGATGTCACGGCCAGAGGAATGGATTTCCCTAATGTGACACACGTTATCCAGGTCGATACTCCCCGGGATCGTGAGTCTTATATTCACCGTCTTGGACGAACTGGCCGACAGAACAAGGAGGGCCAAGGTTGGTTGATCATTCCCAGCTCTTCCGTCCGTAACGCTCGAAAGATGCTTCAAGGTCTCCCCATTCAGCAGAACAGCTCTCTCGACAGCGCTGAGACCGACGTGGCAAGCGGCGAGTCTACTCCTCATCACGAGAGCACCAAGGCTCTTTTAGGCACTATGCCTCGTTCAGTTCTCGCTTCAGCCTATACCTCCCTGTTCGGCATGGCCAGTGATAAGGCGCAGATGGCCGAAGAGGTTAACGAATGGACACGTCATGGCTGGGGATGGGAAAACCCCCCATCTGTTGCCCGTATGTGGGTTCAGAAGATGGGATTAGGCGGTGTCCGAAGCATGAATATTTCGGAGCCCGGCGAGCGATTTGGTGATCGTCCTGGTGGACGCTCCGGTGATCGCTCCGGGGATCGATCCGGTGGATTCTCACGCCGAGGAAGCAGCGACCCCTTCGATTCTATGGCCAGCAATGCCCGCCGGGATGACTTTGGACGTGGTGGCTCTGGCGGTTTTGGCCGCGGAGGCTCAAGCGGTGGTCGTTCAGGGGGCTTTGGCGGTAGCCGCTCAGGAGGTTATGGTGGCAACCGTGGTGGCCGCGGCGACCGAAGTTCTGGTGGTGGCCGCTCAGGAGGTTATGGCGGACGCTCTTCATTCTAATTGATGAAAGGTACTCCATGAAAATGGTGAAAATGTAATAACAAGACCAGATACCTATGATGGATGGGATGTATGACTTGTACTTCGATTGGGCATTTTTGTATTTTATACTAGTGTAAGATATGGGAAAAGGGGTTTGGTTTATAGACATGTCTGCAGGCGTCACTGGGTATTCTCCACAACTCTACTTAGGAAATGATGATAATCCCATAACTGTCTCACTTTGTGATGCTCTGGCTTAGACTTGCACATCATTGAAATGTACCGAGCTTCAATCGACGAACTCAACTCACGGAATACGTCCTGACGCCTGATATACCAAAGGTAAATACGCTTACTCCAATCAACGCCAAACTAGCAATGCTTAACATCATGGTATTCGTTGGCTCATCAGCATATTTGCATCCCACAATAACACTCTCTCGTCCCAGCCCACGGAAGCCACCCAGCCACCCATACCAAATAGACACCAATCTACTCCCGTAACAAACTCGGTATGGCGATTCATGATTCCCATCTGATTTCCTACTGTCGATCCCATTGCCGGACCTTGCTGCTGACTCGAACCGTCATTCCATAATCGAACTGTCATGTCGTAACTGGCACTAATAAGAGTGTCGCTCGAATGAGGACTCCACGACAATCGCCGCACAGCATACTCATGACCTTGCATGACGGAAAGCGGACCTCCGCTAGGGTTCCGTATGTCAAAGGTTCGTAGAACTCTATCCACGCCACCTGTAGCTATCACAGTGTCCCGGTACTTATTCCAATCGTGAGTGAGAATCTCAGCAGGCGCAGAGGCTCCAGGTGACGGTTGCGGCCCAGAAGCATGAACTGGTATCGTCGCCGTGAGGTGATACTTTGCCGAAGATGGAGTTCGGAGGTCGAAGATTCGGAGGTGGGAGTCGGAGGAGACGGCGGATATCAGGGCGGGGTTGGAGGGGCAGAACGATGTACTGTAAGTGCAGTTTCCGATGGGCAGCGTCTTTATCGAGTGATTTCGCGTCGGTGACCACTATGAAGTGTTAGAAACATAGCTTATGTATAACCGGTATAAGTTGGCGTACAATTTTGACTGTGCCGTCCCAGGAACTCGATATGAATGTGTCCTTGGTTATAGGGTTCCAACAGACAGAGAATGTTTCTCGCTTATGTTCGTGAAAGTTCATAACGGGAAAGTCGTCAATTCCCAAGTCGAATAGTTTCAACGATCCATCGCCACATGCGACAATCAACTGGTTCTCGTTAATCTCGGACCAAGCCAAGTCGTACAGCGCATCGTTTGTATCGAAACTGCGATGGCGGAATTAGCTTCTAGTAACAATCCGCAAGCGGGTAACGGGACGTCGCATACGTCTTCTCAACCTGTACACCCTGCGCCGTCAAAGCGAGCGCAAATACACGGCCATTGCCTACAATGCCAAAGTTGGCAGATGTCGCAACGGCAATTCGCGAGTCGTAGTACGGGGAATACTTGACGGCGTAGGGATTGTACCCTTGGGTTCGGAATTCTAGCATTGCAGCCATTGTGCTGAAAATTGGTCTTCAAGGACCGCGCGCATGTGTTAGCTGTAGTATTATGGTAGAGCAAAGAAAGCTACGGTAAACAATGGGCTTGGCTTGTTTGGATCACAGAGCTTCCCCTCGAAGCTATACTGACATGTGCCTCGGTTTCGGTAATCCCACAAGCCCGCGGGGCAGAGAGTCGCGTTATGCGGCTAACCAGGTCATGCGTCATCAGCGGGGGTATGTGGTAACTGAAGTCATTTGAGTCACGTGGTTTCGTGTCTCAGATTTTCGGAACTTTCGCGATATCGTGTCTTGAACGGCCCCTCATCACGTCTTCCAAACTGCGAAATGCCGGCGCGTCTGTTAAAGAGCACTTTCAGTTACGGCGCATGAAATCGATACTATTGGATATACGTGGACCAAACTATGAAAGCTTTTTTGACACGTCCCAAGCGGAAATTATCTCCTGAGCTTCAAAAAAAAATATCGGAACCAGAAGAGTCAACCGAAGTCAAGTTGGCTTTACTATCGTCTTTGCATCCTCAGCTTGATCAAGATACCTTGCTCGATATCTTACTGGCACATGATGGGTGTGTATCCGAGGCATCAGCGTCGCTTAAAGTCCAGGCCCCGGTGAAGAAGGGCACTCGAGTCATTGGATACCAGCAATCCTTGAAACAATATGCAACCCCAAGTGACTCAACTTCTTTGAGCACTACACCTAAAAAGAAGAAATTAAAGTCAAAAGCCGGAAGCACTTTACATCTTTTTGATCCAGAAGACGTGGCTGAACATACTCCGTGCACGATTATTCACAACTTCTTACCACCTGAAGAAGCCAACGAGTTACTGCAAGAATTACTTGAAGAATCAAAAACCTTCGAAAAGATCACATTTCAACTATTTGAGAACGTAGTATCAAGTCCCCATACGTCAAGCTTCTATGTTGAAAGCTATGACGAGATTGAGCGCCAGAAAACCGAGTACCACTACAACGGTGGCCGACTTACGGTAAATTTACAAATAGCAGTTAACTTAGAGTCTTTGATTAATCGTGTACAGGATGTCCGGCGCATCACACCTCAGCTTATCAAGGTCAAGCCAAAAGTCCAAGAAGCTGTCAATTCCGAGATTCAGAAACGAATTAAAACTCGATATCCTGGCGGTAAAAAGTTGAAATATCAACCTCCGAATCCTTGGGTTCCAAACTCGGCCTTTGTGAACGCCTACACCGGTCCACAACAGAATGTCGGCTGGCATAGCGACCATCTCACATATCTTGGACCTCGTGCCGTCATTGGATCGATCTCGCTAGGCGTTGCTCGCGAATTTCGTGTCAGACGGATAATACCAAGAGACAGCGATACGAAAACGGTTCAAGAACAAGATGCAGAAGGCCAGATATCGATACACCTACCACACAACTCTCTTCTCGTGATGCATGCCGAGATGCAGGAAGAATGGAAGCATAGCATCGCGCCGGCGTCATCGATTGATCCACATCCTATCTCTGGCACGACTCGTATCAACATTACGTACCGAGACTATAAAGCAAATCTGCATCCAAAACTCACACCCAAGTGTCGATGTGGGCTGCCGTGTGTTTTGAGAGCTGTGACGAAGAAGAAAGAGAATTTTGGAAAATACTTTTGGATGTGTTATGCCAACTCTCCTGGACAGCAGAACTGCGGGTTCTTTCAGTGGGCTGAGTTTGATGATGATGGGAACCCTCAGTTCAAGAAAGTGATTGGTACTAAGACTTAGCATATGCGATTGAATAATATGATATTGCTATTTAATCGCTCCCACCTCTTTTCGAAGCTGTTGTGCAAGATTGGAACAAGTTTTTGTCTGACCAACAGAATCCTATTTGACTCGAGTCTTATCCAGCATCAATCTCGAGACATGTCAGTAAGATGTATCAAGATAGCATGCATGAAATGTTGTGTTCTTTTTTACGAGCTTCTGGCCTCGACGCCTCTGCCCGCATATTGATATTATACTCTGGAAGCGACATCATGGAAGTTGAATATTTATAATCTGGGATATAATGTTCGCTATACCTTCATGTAGATTGATTGAAGATAAACACAAGCAGCAGCATAAATGATCCATCTACTTCTTTTGACGCTAAGTGCTAACTTTTGACAATCTGTCTTTCGGTGCTGGGCATTCTCCATTTATTAGGTTCTATCGTCTTCCCAACGACAACCAGATCTCACGCTTTCCCCCCTTACCTATTCAGTATATACTGCGTACATATAGAACGGCTTAGTAAGTTGCTGAGGGTTATTCTTCATGTAACGACATATGAGTGATATTCGTTGTTTGGAGCCAGCTTTTTGCTTCTCAGGACACCAGCCTAGCAGGCCAAGGTTGACCGAGAAAGATTCATGTGGTCGGATAGACTGGCCAATTCCAATCGGATGTTCCAAGAATATGTTGGCCTTTTCATAAGTGATTGAAGAATGCATGAGTAGGTAGAGCATCCACATACTGCAAACATTGGTGTCTCCTTTATGTAACCCCCAAGAATTTTGGTAGGTCGAGGTACCACCCCATACTCAGCAAGGCCCAAGAGTTTACAGTTTACAATAATGAGAAACCATATACTAACTCGAAATATACAATGAGCACTTACTCACGTCTTGCGTGGTCCGGGCGATAGGTCATCTGACACTGATGCTTGCTCTACCTTGCTGAATTGCCCTGAACAGCTAGTTTGAAAGATGGTGGAAATCAAAGCAAGGTACCAAGCCAGGCACTCGGAAAACTGGTGATTACTTCTTGTGTTACGTGACGGCGTTGCTTATCATTGGATCTCCGTGGAGTGGGTGGTTACCACCAACCAGCAGCCCATTGGCTTTGGGTGAGATTCATGCAGTATATCGGCCATTTCGATTGGACATGACATTCTTTGAAATTCTTGACTTATGGTGGCCTTCTTCCCCGTACGCTGTCGGTTCATCATTTTTCGCCGAGTCCTGGAAACAAATTTCAGGGGTTTTGTGAGCAGCCGCACCACCAGTGCAACGCCAGATCAAAGATGAGCTCGATGTTACGCCATTCTGTTCAGTAAGCGCTAGCCTTGATCTATTTATTTGAATAAATTTACATGATGTTATTGTGAGTCTCCAGCTGCCAAAGACGTGCTCCCCTTATTCAACTCCTGACAGGTTCAATCCACGAATATTCGCATAGCTTGCTTGAAATTGTCCTTGATATAAGAAGAGTATTAAAATGAAGACACAGACCCGATCTGATTGTCTTAGACCTATTCGATCTGCCCCGCAGCATCCGCAGATGCCTCTATTCATGTGACTTGGATTACCCAATTGCCTTATTTAGAGTCTTGGAATTCTAGCCTAATCGGCTATTATAATACCGGAAATAGCTACAACAAAAGTTAATATTGGGAAACTTTAATACGATGGCCCATTCAACGAAGATTGGATATCTTCCTCGCAATAAGGTGGGAAAACGAGGACATTCAGATAAACCGATTCAACATCACATCCATGTCTGTCTGATGATCAAGTATTCCGCAGAAGGCGCCCAAATTCAATCAAAGGACACCAATACCGCTCGAGTCTCTTGAAACTCAATAAAATTCGGATTTGAGACAAGTATAAGGAAGTGTTATCTAGAGCTTCTGGTCACGATTTGATCGTATGCCGCTCCTCTTCCACATGAAGGAGGTGTCTCTACTCGTTAAATATAGTGCTGCCACAGCCTCGCAAGCATAAGGGAAGGTGAGTATCGATTAGTTTCAGTCTCAAACCACTGGGATAAACTGTCAGTACTAGGTCACTCACAAAGAGCCATTTCGAGCAATGGCAAGTTTGAATATAAGACGAGGCTTCTTCGTATCTGTTTGAGCGATCTACCTTAGAAGATAGATCAACCTATCAGCCGTCAATGATCCAAATAACGAGAAAGTCAACTGCCTCAGGACAAAAGGCAGGATAAATGATCAGCATTCTACATAGATTCGGGAAATTGCTTAATTGAAATAAAGAAGAATCAAAAATAAAGTAAAAATGAAATAAATTGCAGACATCAGTCGCTATCCTATTGAAGCATTAATTCTATGCTGACGACTTCAAGTTTGTTGTGAGGAAATCTCTATAATTCATTGGATGATTCGATTGCCAAGGGCCGTGAACGGCATGTGGGTCGTGCCCGACGCTGTCATACCCGCCAGCGATTTCAGCAAGCCACTGCCAGTATTCTTCCTTCCAATCAGGAAAGTCAATTTCAACTTCATCTCAACCACAATATTTATTGAATTGATCCTTCATTCTGGCATCAACACCCGCAAAACATCCTGTCCGCACCAGGTTGACTGAGAGGATTGGGGCTCAAAGAACGGTCAAATTAGATCTACTCCATCTATTCGACCACGTCATCCAGTCTCTTGTAGCTGAGTTGTCGGCGGCATATCTGGAAGCTCTTATAGACGGTTTTATTAGGACCACGGCAGCAACCAAAGTCGTTCAAACTCCTGCCTCATTTTCTCTTCGTCTTCGTATCTTACCTGATCTCGGATCTTGCCTTATCATCACGAAAAACTCAGAATGTCGGAGCTCACCTTCCCCGCATCCTCAGCAGAAATGCTAGAGTCCAGACTTCCACCTTCAACAACACCTTCTGGAACCTCACGGCCGTTTGTGACACTTACATTTGCAACTTCACTTGACTCATCGCTTTCTCTGGCACCTGGCGTCCGCACTCGACTCTCCGGACCCGACTCCAAAGCAATGACCCACTATCTTCGTTCACGACACGATGCTATTCTCATCGGTGTGTCTACACTCCTGGCCGATGCGCCTGCCCTCAACTGTCGTATAACTGGTGCTACAAGTCAGCCTCGGCCCATTATCATTGATCCTCATCTCCGATGGGCCCCTAGCAGCTCCGACAAAGTCCTAGAGGTTTCTCGTCTCGGTAATGGGTTGGCCCCCTTTGTCTTGACTGGCCTGTCTAGCCAGGACCTGCCTGCTGAAAACGTTGCACTTCTCGAACAGCATGGCGGCAAGTATATTTACGTTCCAACTACACTAGGGCCCAACGGACGTATGCGCTTTGACTGGCATGATGTATTCAAAGCCTTGCATCATCAAGGCCTCTCCAGCGTCATGGTCGAGGGAGGCGGCCAAATTATCAATTCATTGCTTGATACTCGATATCACAATTTAATTGACTCCGTTATTGTTACTGTTGCGCCTACTTGGCTTGGTCAAGGAGGCGTTGTCGTGTCGCCAGATCGCCGTCAGGATCCAGCAGGTGTCCCAATTCCTGCTGCACGGCTATCAAATGTTTCATGGCATCCTTTTGGTGAAGACGCTGTCTTGTGCGGCACGTTACAAGCTTAGTGCCTGAAGCTTGGCTATACATATATATATACAAGCCTCTGATTTGAGTTTCAGTTATCCCTCTCTGCTTTCCTCAACATGTTTCCTGGAAACCCTCCTTACTCACCTTCTCCTTCAGCCCATAGCCACATCTCGTCCTGTAACGCTGTACTATCATACTTTTTATTGTCATTCACTAGGTCGTTCGGACTAGAATGCCACTGAGGATGATATGGACATTACGGCGGCAATACTTTGGAGAAATCGATGTTCCTCTTTCTTAAACATTGCCAACCATGCAGTATCATAATTGCATATGCCTCAAAAATGACCCACCAGCCTGATTTCCAAGGTCCGAAGTGGGTAGTAGGCAATACCAGTGACAACGAAAGCTGATTCAAAGCCGAGATCACCAATTCGCGCCCCAATGGGTCCAGTGAACCACGGCGTGTCCATTGACGGGACCACCAACCCAAGACTGACCATGGATGCTCCAATGGCCGCAAGTCCAGTTGGAAGTCTTCGTACTTGATTCCATATCGCGGGGTCATAAGAACTATAGTCCATGTTTCGCTGGTGTCTAAGAGTTGGCTGCAGTGTACTTGTTCTAGACAACAACTGGGTGCGGCATGTGCTGCTTGACACTCACGCGTTCACCAAAGTCAACCACGAAGATTTCTCTGCTTGCATAAGGACAGGGACGGGGACAACACAACAACGATATGGCCCGAAACCTTGACGATCATGATCCTGCTCTAATGCAGATGAAAGTGCGGCGCGGCGGCCCGAGTCCAAGGTCCCAGCTAAGGCATTGTGGGCCTGTGATGAAACATGAACATCAAACACTCGCAAAAGTTTTGATATATACGACATTACAATATGGGGATATCGTCTTGCTTTTTCTTTATATACCTGCAACTCGTACGGAATGCCAAGAATCGGTTATGGAGCGGGTCAGCGTCTTTTGAATGCGGATCAAGAATAACTCTATCTCTGCCAAAAGCCCGCGGCCTTTTGACAGCAACCACTTCGGCTTCTCGGTACTGCACAATACAGTATGTTTATGCAGCTAGCGGGAATAGAGTGGAGATGTAGAATGTTTGCTCAATCCCCGTCACAGCGATGCAACACAATGCGAAAGAAAATGCAGCTCTCGCATCCTTCACCCAAATTTCACGGCAAAGGCCTGTCCTAGAACGCGCCATTCAGGTCCAAATCCTGCCTTTGTATTGTAGTGATGGGTGAATCCGAAGGGAGGCGTGCCCATCGTCATTGCAAGGATTCTGTTTAGGAGCTATGCAGAGATGTTGCATATCGCTGCTGGTTTTGTTTCTTGGCTAGCTTGTTATCTCCATCCATTATACATGCTGCTAGCATAAACACATAAACAGACGTGGTCCCTTGTAATAGTATAAGAACGGGGCGTCAATGAGTAGTGACCACAAAGCTGACCGAGAGACGTAACTATTACTTACCTCGACAGCCATACTGCGCTTTGACTCGACTACCAACGAGCTGTGCTAAGGTAACACAACACAAGCGAATGACTCTGCCGAGATGCCCCACCTCCACAAGGGTCTTCCAATATTCCCTAAAGAGCCAATTGGGATCCTTCTCTGGCAACAGGGTCTTGTGGATCGGCTAAAATAGACTACCAGTCTTGGGGAGATCACATTAGCAACGGGGACCTTTGCTTCAAACATCTTCATTGCAGAGAATGGATAAGGGTGAAGTAAGCCATGGGTGCAGCTAATCCAATGAGAAGAGAGCAACAGTATCACATACTATAATGTGCGAAACAAGGTTAAGTCGAGCAATTCCATAAATGGCAAAAGTTTGCGCCTTTGGTGGCTATCAATAGACACAGCCCAGCATCTACCAGTGTGATGTTGCAGTGAAAGAGTGTAAAATATCTGGGCTTGTTTTCTGATATCTCTGAGCACATGAGTACCTGCCCTGCTTCCATACAGCATGTCAGGATCAACTGGCCATCGCAAGACACACTGAACATGACTTACTGTATAATACCTGATCCAACTAGTTATAGTATTCTCTCCAAGCTCCTGGGAGCAATAGCTGGTTGGTATTCCTAATCGCTTTCGACAAGTGCCTCAGCTTTGAGGTTCCGCGGTTTGATGACACAGTCAAAGTGCTCGGGGTGACTTGCAGCAAACACCATCGTCAGCCATGTGTCAACCACATTATCAAATACTTATGTGCATGTTTCTAGCCTGGCAAGGGTACGAAGGTATCGAGGGGCAGTGGGGATAGCTTAAGACAGGGGGAGTCAACAGACCAGGTTCCGCCATTGGTAAATCGGACTCGGGGCTCAATGGGCTTCCCATCCGAAGACATCTTACAGAACTGAAGTGCGGATAACATCGTTGCTACCATGATCCAGACACTATTGTCGGCCAGAAACCGACCGACGCAGACCCTAGTGTCAATTAGTTCGTTCTAGATCTCAAAAGCCGTGACCCGAGTCTCAGTTGGGGTTGGCCTGTCACGTACCGGCGCCCGAATCCAAAATTGCCAACAGGAAATAGTTCCCTAGCTTCATATCTGTTAGGGTTGAAATCGTGGGGGTTTTTGTAGACCCGCCCGTCATGAGCCATGGTATAAGCGTTAGCATAGACCACAGTCCTGGTACTTATCAGACACCCTCCCCACCTTGTAACAGCATCATGATGGCAGCATCGTAAGAGAGTTTCTTACCCTGTAAACCATCAGTCAATTTGCACAAGCAGCAACGAGATTTTTGCCTCAGATATACCTTTAGGAATGAGCATGCCCTTGTAGATATCATCGTGGAGCGATTTGTGTGGTATCCCTGCCATGCATTAGTAGCTGTTGCAGGGTTCCTTCAATGTCAACCATGAACAACTCACCCAGAGGAGCCAGTGGTGACCACCTTTGTGAAGATTCCTTTCAGTTTATATTTCGTATTAGTAAATAGTCAAAAATCTCACGTACCGATAAATCCCATGGACAATATGTTCGATATAAACCAAAGCGGGCCGGTCTGAGAAGCCAGGCAGTCTATCAGATCCAATCACCGTATCAAGCTCTTTATGAGCCTTCTCCTGTATTTCCGGGTGAAGAACCATATTAAGAATGAAGATTACACATGTAGCCCATGTCCGGAAGCCACGTTCTCAGCTTTCAAAAATCAACTGTTATGGAGACATACTCACCGTATCTGCTCCTGCGATAAAAACCGCCCCTGCCGCACCTTTGATATCGTCAAGGGACCATTGTTGTTCCTGACCATGGAACTCCTTTTCCTTGTACTCACGGAGGAGTTGATGTGCTAGAGACGTGTTTCCGTGACCATCACCTCTGTGCTGCAAGAAGGAAGTCAGTTATATGGCACGACATGGTATAGTTTTGGGGGTATTTCCCAAGTCGCCCACTACCAGTCAACTCACATATTCAGCTTGTGCAGCAGCAAATGGGACGTTGTGAATTTTTTTAATAGCCCAGCGCCATTGTCGGGCGAATCGCAAGGACAAGTCGCGGACAATGCAGTCGGGGAGATAGCGAACTACACAGGCTCGTTAGTACAGCCTTCTGGAGACTTCGGGTCTATCGTGTGGATATCTTGTACCAAATGGAACTAGATCAACAATACTGTTGGCGGGAACTCCACCATTACCAGTGGCATACATGGCATCATTGGCGATTTGGATGTAGGGGTCGTCGTCCTTTAGCACTTGAGTGCCGTAGCTCACTTGTAGGACGATAGCAACCGCAAGCCGGCGTAAAGACGTTTCCCAAGTTTCAGGCTTCTTGAGTATATTTCGAATTGTTCGTCGGGCTTCTTTTGTCTGCAGACTATGCCATTGACGGACATTTGTGTTGCTAAACGAGGTCTGGAGTAACTTTCTGTGCATTTGCCAGCGTTTTCCAAATGGAAGAAATGTCAGAGTCTTTCCCCATCCCATGCTACCAAAGACTCAGGTGAGCAAAGTATTCGGACGACGTTTGTTTTAGCTAGGAGCAGGGGTTTTGGCTTACACTTCCAGTAGCGTAAATCTGGGTCGGTCACAAAAGTTGGCGCCTTTCTTCTCCAGGATATCCCTGGCCACCTCTACGATATTGAGGACGACTGTAGAACGGCCCAAGGACCTGACATGTATGATATCGGAATCTGTTGAAGGCAATGTCAGGGGTAAAATATTCGTCTGCGTGTACAAATAACAAACTCACTGTATTCTTTCGACCATTTCGCGTATACTGCTGCAGCATTCTCCCTGGGTATTACACGGGAATGGCCCAGAAGAAACTCAGAAGGCGGACCAGGTGGTAGTGGAAGCGTAGGTCGAGAGCGCCAATGGGCCCATGCAAGCAGCAAAATAGTGGCAATGGCAAGCGTCAGCCCGAAGAGGGCCTGTGATGGGTAGTGCTCTATCATGACTCAAGCTGTGCGAAAGCGAGATCGAGTTTGAGTCGCTTTATGTGAAAAAGGCGAGTATTATTTGGGAAAGTTGAGATTATGATTATAACAAATAAGTCAGGGAAGGAGGCAGATGCTCAGCTCAGGGACAGGCAGTTACCTTACTTCGATGAATCACGCACAACATCACCTCAGGTATATTCCCAACGGGGACAGAGCAACCAACTATGAACCATCCGTATTGAACAACGTCCATCTGACGTTCCTTCCCTGCATCTTTCATGTTCCACCAACCATTGACCCATCAGGTTGCTGAAGATTAGCACCTTAAGGCGGGTAACTAAGGACTTAGTAAGTGAACCAAGGATGACCAGAAAACTACAAGTCCCTCAATTTATTGAAAGCAAACAAATTCGATTTCTTCGTAACTACTAGGTACTTACCCAGTACTCAAGGTGAGTAAGGAATGCCTTGGGAAGTGTGACATCCTTCAATAGCAAATGCTGTTGTTTCCTTTCTGACGTATCATTGTTGACCTGAAATGCAACGGTCGAACAGGCATTGAAGGGGAGAACAAGAAGCTCCTCGTTACCGGTGATATACAAAATTGATATTCTTTTCCGTCCCTACCTCCCATGTGCATCGTTTGACCCTAGTTGAATAAGAGATAAGGAATTACTAGAGCGTCCATGGGTACAAAAAGGTGCAGAGCTGGGTCTTCACACTACCACCAGTTTCAAAGAAGGACTTGGCTGTCATGTTGATGCAGAAAAGGTTTTAGCCGATAATATGACGCAGTTTGTGGATAAGTCATTTAGGCTAAGGAATATCAGCTTGATCCTCCAATACCAGCTCATATGATGCAAATGTTTGCCTTGCTGTCTCGGTTGTTGTCACATTCCGTATGTAGCGAGGCAATTCCCATGCTACAATTGGCTACTTTTGTTCCCTCTACAAACCTCGGTTCCGTTCCTTCGGGCCCAGATCCTAGCTGCGTTACCTCGTTACGCGAAAGTCAAAGCATCCGCCATGAGCTTCAGCCCCTGGGAATCACAGCGTACTATCTCGTTTACTAAACAAAAAAACAAACGCGAGAAGGGTCTGCTAAGCTAGCACTTAACTTGCTTCTAAGCTAAGGATTTAGTTGCCGCAGCTGTACAAGGACATTGTCTAACTGATTCATGTGCTCATTTAGCTACGGATTGGCGGCTCAGAGACAGAGGATGCGCGAGACAATGTGGCTCAATACCGACGCTAAAGTGAGGAACCGGCACTTGTCTTGTCGTGGCTATCGCTGGTCTGGTCTATTGCATATGCACCTAGAATCAGGCCTGGGTTCAATAGTGAGTACTAAGTAAGGGTATATAGGTAGGCTGCTCATGATGCTTCACGAGATGCGGAATTGCCCCTGTTGATGATTGATCAAAACGGAATACGGTACTGAAGATGTGATTGGCAGAAACAGTTCCTTCTTAATTTAAAACACCTTCCATCGTAGTTGCCCCATCTATAAACGAAAGCTTTGGGGACAAGGAAGGCAGGACAACACAACCCCACACCAAACTTGATGACTTCCGCCTTCCACTTGCACATGCCCCTCAGCTCTCTAACCCTCCTCGGGCAGGCGGGGATCCATCCATCTTTTCCACATGACTCGGAATACCTTAGCAACTCAAGTTAACAACTTCTTCACCGCAAACTGAACATGTCAATATTGTGAACAAACTATCAAAAGTGCGCGGCGTTACCGACGAATCCTTGTGCGCAAACACTCAAAGAAGCAAATAAACAGACTTGTTTTAATTATTGCTTTTGCGCTCGGCCTCACTCTGGCACTACAGACACTCGGGCCATCGGCTTTCGGCTGTTGATACTCACCCCTGACGTGACAATTCAACTACTACATCCTCAGCAATAAACAGACAGACGGACACAAACAGCATCATATTGCGAAAGCAACACCAACCTCTATTCAGCCGCAATAACCCGTTCAGCAAATCTCCTCCAACCCACCTCACGATGGCTTCTCACGCTAGCACTCCACACATCACCATCCTGGGCTCTCTCAACATGGATCTCGTCTCATATGTCCCACATCATCCCCTTCCTGGTGAAACCCTCACCTCAAACCATTTCAACACTTCGCCAGGCGGTAAGGGCGCTAATCAAGCTGTTGCTTGCGGCAAGCTCTCTCGAGACTCGGACCTGTCCAATCCTTCGGCTGTCGTCTCTATGGTGGGTGCTGTTGGCGCCGATCCTTATGGCACCCTCCTGCTTGACAGCCTCCGCTCCTTTGGCGTTGCTGTCGATGCTGTAGCCATCCGTCAAGACCAGAAGTCTGGCCTAGCTATCATTATTGTGGATGAGCCCTCTGGTCAGAACCGTATTATCTTGTCCCCTGAAGCCAATCACTCTCTTCAGCCGGCTGAGTTTGAGACCCTTCCTGGCCCCCGTCCTGACCTTCTGATCATGCAGCTCGAAATTCCTTTCGATACTGTCATGCAGGCTTTGAAAGCTGCTAAAAAGGATGGTGTTCCTGTCCTTCTTAACCCAGCACCGGCTCAGCCCTTGCCTATGGATGCCTATGATGGGCTGGCCCATCTCGTCGTTAATGAGACCGAGGCCGCCATTCTTGCAGATTGTGCTGAGTCTGAGCTTGATGACCTTCAAGGCTTGGACCGCATTGGCCGTGTCTTCATTGATCGCGGAGTCCTCAATGTCATCATCACCCTCGGAGGCCGTGGTGTCTATTTCGTCAATAAACAAGGCCAGAGCGCATTGCTACCAGCAACTAAGACGAACGTAGTGGACACCACGGCCGCGGGTGATACCTTTGTTGGTTCTTACGCCCTGGCCGTTGTAGCCGCCAAAGATGGCCAATTTAATATTGAAGCAGCTGTCGCGGCGGCCAATCGAGCAGCTGCCTTGACTGTTGCGCGAAAGGGTGCTCAGATCTCTATCCCCTGGAAAGACGAACTTTAGAGTAGGTAGCAACACCGCTTTCTTCGTAGACAATCCAACAAAAAACATTCGAATCTCACTACGTGTACGGTTTCTCCATTTCGTCTATTACCTGGGTCAGTCTAGAACCATGCCACCCATCCCCATCTGCTTGCATCCTTTTTGCCTCTGCTACGCCCTGGCGATGCTGCTCGGGGCTCCTCCACTTCCCGCTCCCTTGTCGTTAAGGACAAACCCGCCATCAAAGGGAAGAAACCCCTGAGGGTGTCAGCCCCGAGTGACCGCCTCTTCCACAATGTGCTGCTGTCAGATTTGCCAGAAAAGGTTCTTCGGCTTCGAGTAGCAGGAACATCACTTCCATCTCGGCTATGCTCTTCTTTTGGTCGTGTATGAGCCGAATTATTCACCCCCGCGCCCCTAAAGGTTCTCGGCCTCGACATGTAACTTGATGCATAGCTGCCACATCTGGACGACCCTTGTCTCGATCTCTGATGAGATTGGGAGTGCATTTCTATATCATCGAGATCGGCCTCGGTGCGGCCTCGTTGAAGGCTTGCCTTTCTGAGAGGAATCAGAGGGGCAGGGTTATGGTTCCAAGTGGGCTTGATATGTGTCCTGGAGTCATTTTCTTCCGAATGTTTCTGTTGCAAAAAGCACGTTTGCTCTGAATCCTTGGTGTCGTATTTTGCTGCGGCAATCTGTGCCATTACCTTCCTTGCGTTTGTGGCCCCCCAGTGCCTTTCTACCAGTGGCAATAGTGGATTGGATCTCGACGCCGGAGGACGAGACCAAAGCGACATGGCATTGTGGAGTTTCACGGAGGCTGTGGCTACCGTCTCAATCTTGCTGTGCATGCTGAACATCTCATCCTCCACAATTCCCATATCTTGACACATGGGAAACGCCGAATTTCGATATGACAGCCGCATGGTCATGTAGCTTACGGTAGAATCACCCAACTCCTCCTTAAGCGCTTCTATCAGGTTGTCCGATTCTAATCGCAGACACGTCTGTCTGCATCGCCGCATACCCTTTGAGACACGGACCTGCACTTGAGCTAGAAGAAAGATGCTTGATCCGGGGTCCAAGCGGTGACTATCCCGTGAATCAGCGCGCGCCTTGACTAGTACGGCAATCTCGTTCGTTTTTGTACTTACATGGGAAAGGGCTGTTCCTGAAGAATGCGAATAACCGAGGATTCTTCCGTTGGCAGAATTTGGACGTCCAAATCGGTAAGACCATTATCGTCGCAAATATCCCCTGCTACGTATGCCGTCAGTCCTTGTTTGTTCAAGAACGAGGCTTTCATGTGTACCCTCTTGGTCACATTGTGTCAAACCAGCAAGATCCGTGAACAGATCTGGTCGCTCCTAACTGGCTCCTGGTTGACTTATCATCGCAGTTTCAGGCCATTGTCTGATCGAGACCTCGATAGCCACCCAAAATCTATGGCAACCTCTTTCGACAGTTGTGACTTCGGGTGTGATGGTTACATGTGGTGGTAACCAACGTTTTAGTCTAGGCTGGTGCAGTGTGTTGGAGCCCTCGGTCAGTGCTACAGGTGGACTTCTTCTGGATAGTGGTGACTCCTCTTCTCGGCCTGTTGCATGAGGTGCCAGCGGTGACTCTGCATTAGACATAGAAGCCCTGTCATATATATTGGTCAGAGGTGGGCGAGCCTTGACTGGACGCCGCAGATCATACGCCGCAGTCAATGTACTGGACGTCGAGGAAGAAAACGGATGGTCTTGTCCCAATTGGCCCCTGGGCTGTGCGCGTGTTTGTCTCGCCTTCCTGACCGACAGCTGGGGCGAAGGCGTGACCCCCAAGCGTTGAGGTGGATTATCATCATTCTGCACCTAGCATTTGGCCTCGCGCAAGGTTGGACTGCCTTGTTTTCTCATACCCTGGTCATTATGTGACAATCTTGAGTTCTCTTTGTCTGCATCTACTTGTTCTGGGTTGATCTTTCGCCTCTTGGCGACTGTAAGAGACCCATCCCCCAGAATGGTCCGTCTGTGTTTAGAGCTATCTTGATGAGGATGGTTTGCCGTATGCCGCTTATTCATGTTTTTGTCACCTTTCACAATTCTCAGAGGACTCGGCTTTTCGTAGACAAAGCTGGGGTCAGAGGCGCAAGTGTCCCACCAGGGCAGATCTTCGTAGCTTGGGTTCGACATCGTGATGTATACTGTACTGGCGGATGAGACTGACCCTTCCCTATGACGTCTACCTCTGGTTCTCTTAAATGGTGAAATGGAATCAGTAATCCTATTGCTCAGGCCCTTGCGAGTCTGATATAGTTTCTGGTTAACGATAGTGGCTGTTTCGTTCTGGTCGGGAGGCTTATACCATGCGGTAAGTAATGTAAGATTGCAAGAATGCTGAGGTGGACCAAAGTTTTGAGATGCAACACTAGCATGCTTTATGCATACAATGAGGAGGAAGACGATGTTGTTGTTGTGATGAACATTCTTGATTAAGATTCAACTAATGACACGAATGAGGCAAGGTACCTAAGGCAAGGTCAAGAGGGTTTTAGGGGTATCAGAGATGCTCTTGCTATTAGAACGAAGAGTAAAACAGGAGGTCGTGCTATGCTATGAGACAAGAGGTGCAGAGTTACTGCCCTGATATCGAAAACAATGCCCTTGAGCAGCAGCTACCTAAGGCACAACTGCATGGCCGCATCTAAACAAGGCGAAACCACCAGAGGCTGAAATGAATAGGTAAGGTAAGTCGAAGTTCAAGTAGCTTGCCCAAGTGTTCGGCGCAGGTTCTCCTTTACAGAATCGATATCGGTGTCCTCCATCGCAAGAAACTTGATCTATACAGGATTAGCAAAGCTCCTGGATAAATCATGATAAGAACATAAAGACTTACCAGATCATCCGAAGTCTTGGTCTCCCCATAGAGGACCGGCTCTGACAAGCTTGCGGAAATATTCTTCTTGACTCTATCCTCCCAGACTCCATCCCAATTCCACTCTCCAGGTCGTCTAGGTGTAGCTGTAGATGACCCCGATTTTACGCTCTCTGCCCTATGCTCGCTTTGCTCTCTTTCCTTCTGCTCTTCGTCCTCAAGGGTGTCTTCTATCAACTTTCCCGTCGCTTTGCGGTGCGTTCGCCATGCGTGCCAAGCTCCCGGGTTTCCTGCTGCCGCGAGGGGTACTGAGTCGAGAACTTCCTCTGTATCAAAGGCACTGCGGATATAGTGTAGAACTTCATAAGCCGAAACACTCTTTTTTCCGGTGCGCATATACGAAGGCGTTCCCGACGGAGCTGCTGATGTTGTCGAGTTACTGGCCGTATCAGGACTCGTTACAGGCGCTTGTTTCGCTTCCACCATACTCCGTCTTCCTCGTCCGAACCAGTCAGGGAAACCATGACGCAAACTAAAGCCTCCTGGCGGTAATCGCTCTTGATCCGAGGCACTCACTGTGCCGCTTTCCTGGATGTCGGTTGTGTACATGTATGTTGTTAAGGGTGTGATGAGAGGATGGAACATGTCTGTTGAGAAGACGACGAGAGGTGGGAGCTGAGGATACGAGTCGGGGAAGGATATTTGGAATCTGAGTATAGCAGGACAGTAAGGACCTGTTAGGGTCGCAAGATCAGCATCATAGGTCAAGGCATGGAGTCGAGGAAGTATGCGAGTGTCGATTACCTTTGCGAACGAAGAGTACGCCAGACCAGAGCGTGGCGTCTCCTGGAGTGAGACTAACAAATATTCCCTCGGGACATGCTTGCTTGAGTCCAGCGCTACGTTTACATGTTAACCCAGTATTTCATGTTGTATTCTGGTAGAGAACAAACAATTCTGAGAGGAGCTGTTGTTTGCGCAGCGATGGCAATGCGCTCATATTATTGAACGGCGGCATTGGTGTTACAATCGTGATCGCGTATCTGAGATGTTGTATATCGTAGAGTTGTATGATATGAGGAGTCTAGGCGTAGGTTAAAATGAATTGGCTTTAAAGATCGTGTCGCATTTGTTTGTCGTCGTCAGATCTCCAAGCTTGGGAGCTCTCAGAAGCTATGTGGCAGGCGGTGAAGGCTTACAGCTAACAATATGGTGGGGTGTATTCATGCGCTCCAAGTCATGAACCAACTACAAGTTTGTAAATCAAGATGTCATTATTATGAAGACCATTAGCTCATGGTAATTTTATTCTTGGTATCGATAGGGGCTTAGAAAATGTAGGCACGCTGTAATACATATCATGACAGCTTAGATCAAAGGTCATGATACCGCTTCCACTACCCTACAGTTGCGCAGATTCTGCCATGGGCTAACCGCGGGGTCATCTCATGCCAGTGGGGTAATTCAAAGTTGTGATATCACGACGCCGAAAAAAATGAATGGGAAGCATTTGTCTCTTCAAATCTTATTCTCTGAGTACCTTCCTATAGACTCGTAATCGTAATTCGTAGCAGCACCTTGATATATATTTATAAGATGCAAGCCGTGGTCTATTCCCAAGCAAGTACTCCGTCATGAAACTTTTGAACCCTCAGCCATGCATGTCTTCTCGTGATGGTATCCCGCAATGCCAATAAAAGAAACAAAGACCAGATTAGTGTCCGAGGCGCTGCTCGATCTTGGCCTTCTCCTGCTGCCGGATCGTGGCCACGTCATCCCTCGTAGCGTTATACGAAGCCGTGACTTGGTTGAAAGGGTTGTCGGGGTGCTTCTCGAACTCCTTCCTGATTCTGGTCTTCCTCTGATCCAGGCGTAAACCGACACCGCTGCCGTCCTTCTTCATCTCCTCGAGTCGTCGCTCTTCGTACTTGGCATATGCGGCCGGGTATCGGCGTTCGGGATGTCGGTCGACCTTGTCGTCCTTGCCGCCTGTCAGAGCTAGAGCGTCGAGGGCGTTGTCGATACCGGATGCGCTGATAGCAGATGGCTTATCATCGTCGTCGAGCTGCGAAAGATCAAGACCGCGCGACTTCTTAACTGGAGCCTTGGACTTCTTGGGGGCCTTTCCGGGGGTGTTGGCGTCGTCTTCGGCCTGCAGAGCAGCTTTCTCGGCCTTCTTCTTCTCAGCCTCGGCGGCCTTTGCGGCTTGAGCTTCCCTATGTGCGATGTCAGCAACTCAAAGCTGCGCCCTCGAGCGACAGTAGCACTCACTTCTTGGAGGTGTTCTTGGCGCCCTTATTCCACTTCTCCTCCTCGGCAGCTTCTTGACGGGCGTCGTTTGCGGCTTGCTTCTGGGCAGCGGCCTCGGCCTTACGAGCGTTGCCCGCTACCTTCTTGCTGTTGTCACCCTTCTTGCCAGCCATTGCGAAAGCTCGGAAAGTGGGTGATGCGTATGAGTGGTGGGGAAGACGTCAACGTGGTACGAGTAGCAAATCGGAGATTAGGTGTGCGAAACAGAACGGGATCCTCGGCTGGTGTTGCTAGGGGGAGCTGAAGAAATGTGGCTCTCCTGGGGTTTGTTTGGGGTTGAGTTTCGTTGGTTGGAAAGAGGAAAAAATGTTGTGATGTCGTAACCTCGGAGTCAGAGTCGGAGGATGGTGCCCAACTAATGACGGATGCCTGGGTCCTGAATTTCTGGTGTACTGTGTGAATAGACACTTATCAACTTTTACTTCTACTGTGCTGTATATAGCAACCACTTACGGCTTCGACCATAATAATAACTTTTTTAAAAAAAAATTAAAAAATTAAAAATTACGTTAACATCTTGACACTACTTGGAATGGTAGTTCATTAATCAATTGAGTATCTGTCTTTTGTTACTGAGTGAGAATGATAGCTATAACCTCAAGGTTCCAGTTGATATCAGTCTTGGCCATATGTAGTAAGTACTGGCGAACTGATCATGAGCAAGATAACGCTGCCATTCATGATAGCACGGTATCACCATTAAACCTGGAAAACATTGAGTAGCATCACATCAGCATTAGTCCGTTGCTCGTCACTCTCGCTTAAAAATGCTCCGTGGCAGTTTCTCAACTCATGGCGTGAACTGTCATGCGCGAATCAGAGCCTGTAAGTTGTGAAACTTGAGAGGTACTTAGATAGACTCGACAACAAAGCCATTTACATTTACCTTGCACTGCAGTAGCATCATGCCCCTGCCTCACAATCCAAATGCAATACAATACCAGCGACTTGTATCAATAGTCGAACCAGGCTGCTCACATGCCAACCCTTCAGCCTCAAAATGCATGGGCGCCTTGCATGGGTTAGTCAGTTCATGGCTGCACAGATTCTTAATGATTGTTGGTGTCGATTAGTGTTAGCTCGATATTGTGAGACGAGACTACAAGTGCGAGAATAAGTCTGAAAATGAGGATATAAGGCTATTGAGTTGGCCGTAGCTTGCGATTGACTTTGAAGATCCCGTCACCCCAGCATCATCACCTCGCATCACTCACCGTTTGCTTGTATCGCGCTTATTATCTTTACCAACCAACTGCTCATGTCTCAGTAACGGCTGTTACCACGAGGCGTATCACAATCAAGCCACACACTCTTTGTTAGAGTTAACATGTGGTTGTCAAGTTAAACTATGATAACCTTAGAGTCTTATACTTGGTTGGCTGTAATCGGCCCGTGACAACACCAACAAGAGATCTCCATGACCAATATACAATTTGAGTACAGCTTTGCCTCCCTCTTGCATTTACCGAACCGCGGTATCGGGACGCTCGAACGGTCACATCACCTAAAGGGGAGTTGTACTCTCACAGCAGGCAACCAACTCGGATACTCTCATATGAAATGGGAGCTGAATCCATAACCAATATTGACAATCAAGTTGGGGGCTGACAAGAACTTGCACTTGTGCTTACCGCACATGACAACGAATCCTTTCTCCGGAAGTATCGGGTATAGAAACATGCGAGATGGCATCAACATCAACTCACCACTATCACTTGCGGTCAGCATATAACGCTACTGTGATTCCATTCCTAGATATCTAGGCAGCCTGCTTACGCTCAACCGAGCCATGCAGACCCTTGAAGTTTCGCCTCAGAAAGAAACACATCCCGGGAATAATGTGACTCAGTAGGTAGCACATTGCCAGAAATGTTTCGAGATAACACGTCCGGATGGTGTACCCAAGCGAACGTGCCTTGTTAGTTAGTATCCGTAGGAATATCAACAATTGTTCCCTTGACATTCCCGTTTCTACCCTGCTATTTTGCAACCTTGCAGTTGAAACCGCGAGACAAGAACCATCCTCACCGATAAGTGAGACTTTGAGATACGTCAGATTAGAAGGCACGGGGCTCGAATATCCCTTGGCCCGGTTTCTCGATTTGGTTGGATGCATACCGAGAAGTGAGATCCGGGGGGGAAGATCCTTTAAGGGCTGAAAATAGTAAACGATCCTTGTAAATACGTATACTTCACTGCGAAGTCGTATCCAAATCCTTGTGTAACATGGAATAAGGTGGCTTTTATTTCCGTGCTCGGGTTTCGGTGTCGTCTCCTGAGAGGATGAGTTACGAGTTGACTAGGCCTTGGCCTATGTGAGACCCAAGAGGTTGAACATAGGGTGTTCTAAGCTTGATATGTGAGGGAGCATGTTTCAGCATATCAAAGAAATGAAACATTTTATTCCCGTCCAATTTCATTAAGTACTGACTGGTCTGTATTAGTGATCTGTCACCAAGGAACCACATAGGAGAGTGTGGTGAATACTACTATACCTGTGTCTGACCTGCCAATCACAAGAAGAAGCATGTAAGTCTCGGGGTCATAAACGGAACAGGCCGGTCTTACTGAGCCAAGGATTCACAGGAGAACCATGTTAACAACAGCAGAATAAGGTGGGAAGCGAACTTGAGGGCGCTCATATGAGTTCTGACAAAGCCACCAAATTTGCGTGTGTATATAGTTGCAGATGGAGATATGTACGGATACATACATGCATACATACATCCCGCGAAGTCCGGCTGCTCACTCACTGTCAAGGATGTAAGTAGGCTGCGAGACTGTGCCGTATCTGAGCCCTAGGATTAATGGCTTCACGACCAGGATGTCACGTATTCTGACGACTCTTTTCTCTTTACACGCGAGACTGCATGATTGAAGCGAGAAGTGACGAATCACTCAGCCATGCAAGCAGGTAAACTGAGGAGGAGGTGAACTCGTTTTCGTCTTGGGACTGTAACAATGCAATATTGTCACCGCCGCCCGCAGCATGAGAGCGTGAGCATCGCAACACTGAGGATATGTCCCCCTGGTCTCCTAAGCGAACACGCTCATGCACGCCCGTAGACTATGAGAGAGCGCCCCTGCTGTGCAACGTCGGCTCTCAGTCATGGTGTTGTTGATTTATGCGGGGAGCCGGTGAGATCCAAGCGCTGCTGGTGAAAGATTTTGGGCTGTTGGAATGGTAGTACAGTGGCCTGCTAGAGCAGGGTAAGGTAAGGAAGGCAAGGCAAGGCAAGGCATCTGAGTCAAAGCCAAGGCAGTAGAAAATAGCATGGGTTGCACAGGAATGGATCGACAGCAAGGGACCTGGAACAAGACCAAAGCAAGACAGACAGGGCAGAGACGAGCAGGGGATCTGACTTGGGGAGTAGCAGTAGGGTAAGGGTAATAAAGCAGGCCTCGTTTATGGTGAGAGTGGAAGTGTAATGTAATATGCTGTGAGTGAGTTGTTCTGGTCAGGGAGGTCTAGGCTGGTCTAAGTCGGTGAGGTTATTTACCTTCACCGAGTTCAACATCATCCGACAAACAACCTGGTTTTTACTCCGTACGTACGGCAAGATAATATTAACAATATTTATTAGTGTTTAGTATTTGCTTTTGTATCTACTATGCGGAGTAGACGGGAAGTTCAGGTTAGTGAATAAGGCTGCAGAGGGGAGATTATGTTTGGGCTGGACTTTTCTTAGGCCGTCCCCAAGAAATAAAAAAAAGGAGGATGACCCAGTGATCTGGATCAGCCCTTGTCCATTTTTCTACTACCAGATCAACAGTGAGATGAGATTCAATGTTGGAATGGCCAATCTGTGAACATCACAGAGCGCTAACTGTAAATCTCTAGCCCACAATAGCTAATAAAACATAGAAAACTCAAAGTTGAGTGTATGTAACCCTCATATCGTATCGCCAAAAAGTCAATGCGGCCTCATCTCAGAGTGAACGGACGTCATCAACGCAACGGTGCCAAGCGATCACCATGACGGATAACGAGTAAGCGAGGCCGAGGGTAAGGGCTTTTCAGGCTCTAATGAGCAAAAACTACAGTGAGTTTGTTATAGAGGGAGGATAGACGAAACTCTACTGGGTAATAATAATCTTGTTGATTGTTGCTTAAGCTTTTGTCTAGTCATGACTAAACCGGCCAGAAATTTGCTTTACCCGCGTGCGTGCCGCCGTGGGAGGGAGGTTCCACTATCTTGGCTCAGCTTGTAACTTGTCTGTGAGTTATTGGTGATAATTCCTCATAAAACAAGGAGTGATAGTGGAGAGGACAACAACAACAACAACCAGAGACAAGAGTAATTATGACCAGTCTCTGTATCATCACATGATAGTTTGATACCTTCCCCTCATCATCATCATCATCAATTTGTCATGTCGTGTTATGTTGTGTGGTGTCGCGGTTAGAGTTGCTCGAGTTTATTCACTACTACTACTACCACCACTACGAGAGTTAACGTAGGATCTGTAACTTCTGCTTGCGGTCGAAAGGGATGGACGGTCCAAATCCAATTCGTCCGGATCGTCAAAGGATGCTTCCCCGTTCATGGAGATGGATATGCAAATCACGGGACCCAGAGCCGCCGTCACCCTCTCCTGTACAATTCAGTCCAGTCCAGTTCCTTACACAGCGGATGATACCCGGTAACAAAAAGCAATTGTCAGTCACAGAGCCCAAAAGAAAAGAAAAGAGAGAGAGAAAATTTGAAATTACTGGCTCCTGCTCCTTCCTCACTAAACTCACACCGTCATGACCTTGTCTACCTGAGGTATCCCCTCCAATCCAATGCATCCACCCTCTTTCTTTTTCCCACCCGCACGTTCGAGTTCGCAAACCCACGCTAAATTCATACCCTGGCCCCCTTTTCGAAACCTTCGAGAATTTCTATCAAGAACCGGGGCGAACAGCGGTCAGACCCCCTTGTTTTGCCTAGGTTTTCCCACTCTCTCCTCTCCCTTGCCTTGCGACAGGTTCAGCTTCTGTCCACGACCATAACCATACTAGGACAAGGGCTCTTGAGATCCCCGGAACCTCTCCCCCCAAAACCAAGTCAAGTCAAAATTCAGAGGGTGCGTGCGCTCTCTTGAAGCTGACGGTACGGTCGACGCCGAAAGGCTTGCGGGGTCATGGCAATCAACACGAGATGACGGATGGATCCTCTCATTTCTTCCATGATTGAGGGAACAATCGACAATCCCCCAACACAAGCCCGCCGTTGTACATTCAGGACGGGGCACACAAACTTGGTGTTGGTCCGAAAGCGGCGTCAATAAGCAGCTACAACCAACGCCCGAGACGTCAGAGCGCTTTCAACCGTCGTGCAGATGCTTTTAACACTGCTGCAAACATAACAGCATACATACAGTACATACACATATGCAGATGCTGCATGTCGGTGGTCCAAAGGTGCACCATCGCTATAATGGATGGATGTGCGATACTTCATAGCGAATTCCAAGACATTACATCGTATCTGGCCCTCCCTGCCTTCAGCGATTCGTTTGGATCGGGCCACCCGGCCTGCTGGGTTTGACATCGCCCACACGGCTTTTCTGAAACACACCCTACACCCTACTCAATTTTCCTGCTCCCCATCCTTCTCTTTTGCCTGCCTCACTTTTTATCCTTGGACAGGCGGGGGTGTCTAGTCCATCTGTCATTGCGTAGTCTACGACAAGGGAGGCTTCTTTACCGAGACTACAGAGTACCTCATTTGTACAATCGACGAGATGCATCAGATCAACCCAGCCCACCGGGTCGCTTGTCCGCCGCCCCCTTTTTCCCCTGAGGCCAGCTCGTCCGGCTCTTTTCTTGTGGCCACTCGGCTTCTCCCCTTGAGCGGGGCGCCATGCGACAGGCTCCAAGAAAAGTAGTCTTCTGGTAGCACGAGACCTCCCGCGACGTGCCTAGCTGTACCGGCAAACTGCACTGTATCCACTTCAGCGAAGCCGGAACCCAGGAAGGCCTTCCGGGACTTCACAGGGATTCAAAATGGAAAGGCACCCAACGCTATTGGATAGTTAGAAGCGCCGGGCTCGACTATGACGACAATGGATGTGCAACTCACCCACGCCTGACGCGACACCTTTATTTTTCTGCGGGCGACGACCTTTTGAGCGAAGCCGAGGTTGTTCAATTTGGGTTGTGGTCGAGAGCTGTGAAACTATCGGGGACGAAAAAAAATTGTCAGGAATGTCTCAGGCTTCACCGACGAAATGACTCCAACATCCGTATTTGACTTGCATCTATGCAAGGCGGATCTGACACCTACTCGGTAGGCGGATGAAAGCGTCCACGTCGTCGGTAACCATTGGAGTCTATTTTCAATCACCTACTGCACATCATGCATACATATCAAAAGGAGCCGCGGGCGCGTATGAAACAGGCGAGTGATACAGTGCTATACCGCTTCCGTGACAGGGAGCCGCGAGCTTTGAGTGGGGGGCCCAGGTCTAGATTTTAGCCACTTCCTTTGTGACACAAGACGAACTCGGACCTTGACTGCAAGCTGGCACAAAGTTGACAAGTCAAGATGCCCTTACCTTGCCTTCGTAGGCTTCGCTTTGCATCTGCCCGGGTCGGTAGTGTACAGCCCCGAGCCCTGTCTCAAGACTCAATGCCGACATTTGGTGTATAGTATGGGGACAGACACGATTGCAGCAAAAGGGCGACTCCCGAGAGGACCGCATCCAGCATTCGAAGCTGCTTGCAGACTAATTAAAGACGATCTAAATTGTATCTGTGGAGTCGACTGCACTTCCGGCAGTCTTTGCTGCTCGGGGCTTACGGCCCAGCGGGTTGGGTGCGGGTGGGCCAATTCGACTGACGAGCTCAAAGTCGAGTCAGATCCATTTGCTACAGATATTGGCGTGGGCCTTCGGGAGACTGTACCCTACAGCCTCAAGGTTCAGAGCCCTGACTTGAAACCGCTACATTAATTGCAGCATTTTCAAGCCCAACACCGCCAGTTTCGTCTTCTGTGCTCACAATGTGTGGCTTACGCGCCGCAGCAGCTACTCCACGTGCCAGCAGTAGGCGAAGGGTCCGGTGCAGCATGGCGGTGGCAATGTCTCGGGTTCCTGATCAAAATCTCACACCTTGATGTTTAATCCCTTGCTCGCTCACCCGTGGGTGGCTCCCTTCTCTTAACCCTACTTTATGGGGCTCTGGGGATGTCAAAGAGGGCTTCCACTTCAGAAAAATATTATGTCGTGTGCTTCTATTGGCGCCTGGCTTGTATGACGTTAATGCAGCTGGGGAAAATTTTCGATGGTGATGCGCCAGACCGACATATATGACTCTAAATTCAAATTTTTAGTACTGGACCATCAACGTCAGCCACGTGTCTGACATATGGACGACACGCCTATGTCAGTCAGGCTTGAAAATTTTGGTTGCAACATATTGAGATTTCCAATTTGTTCTTGCCTGCCGGAAAGCTTTCACGAGAGCCGCTGTCAGAGAACCTTGTAATTTCCATGGTGAGAGCGGGGATGATGTCCGTATCGGTCACGAAGTAGGTTCGACATTCTACATACAGATTCCTGCGACCTTGGCATCACTTACACCTAGGCTTTTCGGCCTAGTCATGCCCTTCTCGGCCGACTGATATGCAAGATGGAATTTCTACTCCGTGTTCCGAGGTGGAATCTCCTGTGTAATTTTGACCTCGTGACAAGCACGAGATACGTTTGGAGTTGCAGCTCGTTTTCGCAATATCTAAAGATATCGCAATCGAGCTCTTGGTCAGTATCCCGGTAACTTTAGCTTGCACACCGATCAGAACATGATACTTAATTTGTACTCATCCTACGCGTCATTCTCGAGCTCGTATGCAGTGGACAGTGAAACATGGTTGAGGTATGACAAGGCTGCGGTGTCTCGACGTTGCTGGCAATGCAGGCAGATCCCGAATGACTCCCTCATGCATGGAAGTCGTCTGCTGACTATGTGCTCCATCGTTCTGGAAAACACTACAGGAGCTAGAAGGTACGGCATAAGATGTTTGCTCCAGACTTTCCGGAACAAATGTCCGGCGGTGGGTGTGAGGAAAGAACAAAGAAACACCAAGCGAATAACACATCATCAGAACCAGCATGCTATTCAAGGAAAATACCATGTAAGATGGACGGATGCCTACGCCTGCCTACGACTGACGGGGTGAGCTGGCTGAGAACGTGGGGGACGACAATAACAACCTACCTATGAAAGAGACAACAAAAACATCGCAACTCCTATCACAGCAGGCACTGGACTGATATCTGATTATGTTCTACCCAAATCGACGTCATTAGGCACCGCATCGAAATCGCACGCCGCAACACCAAGGCTGGAACAACGGCCCATGGCATGCCATGCCATGTGCTATAACAATTGGTGGTGCTGACTGAGTGACTGACTGACAGATGGAAGTCGGCTCCGCTGGAATCTCATTACTTTCTGCCCGTCACCAAGAGGATGAGAGGTGTGGTCCCCTTCCGGGAGGTCTTCCCTAGTTACATTATCGCTCCACAGCCAGGCTGAGGCGACCCCGGGGATGATTTCCGTGTGACGAGCCCCCGGGGGCCGTTGCTCATTACTCACTGTACTGCGTTCACCGCCTCCTAAACCTGTCGCTGTTGTCCTGTCTTTTACAGCGGCTGTGCGGGTTAGTGTCGTTTGGTGCAGCCAATGCGATAACATGGAAGTCAGTTGACCGTATTTCAGGTTGCTGATGTTTTGCACGCATAAGCCAGTTTCGAAACAACAGAATGATGTGTCCATGGAAGACAGGACTTTTGACGAAAGGGAACACTTGGACATGCGCTTAGCCACAGCGGAAATACCGGGGTGCAGTTACGGACGGCGCTATTCGCTTTAGCATTAGCATTCGGTTTGGCTTGTTTTGTTTTCCAGCTCCATTCGCACCCAACAATTAAGCTCGAACCCAACCGTCAGTCCATGGCGTTTTGCTCGAGACACATCCCCGTGGGCCTCTCCCAGTGGCTTACAGGGGATCAGAGACAGAGAAGGATACCCCTGCAGAAGTACTTGCTGGATACCTACGCTTAGTCTTCCAGGGCTCCTGCGTCTCCGTCTCCCTGGGACCCAGCCCCTGCAGCCCAAGACTCGAGGCCCAAGACCAAGTCCGCCCTGTCAAACTGGGATCACTGCCCGTGGTGTTCTCACTTCTGGTGCTTTTGAAGCCCTGAAGCCAGCCCCACTACCCATGTCATGCCCAAGAATTGGCCGTTCGCCGCATCTCACAGCACAGCGCAGCGCGGACACGACAGGAGATTTGCCCTTTGCCCATTTGGCGCGCTCATGTCACCGCTGGTTCCAAGCTTCGGGTCTAGTAATTAATTCTATTCTGCTCCAGAAGTTGATCATTGTGACAAGTCCATGTACCCCAGTCCCAGTCAAGCTGTGAGGGGTGTTGCTCACTTCACTTCACTACCAACACTCCATCCTCATACCTACTCATTCTCCATACTCCATACACTTCTTATAAGTGTATCCACCCCATCTTGGTCCTTCTCTTTTCCTTCCGTGAACCTTCTATAACCCTTTAATTAGTCTCCCTTCTCCCTCCGCCACCTTGATTCTTATTCTGTGTTCTTTCTCTATCTCTCCATCAGCTTGAGTCTTTGTCAACACTTGCAATCTGTTGCTACTTGGGTTGTACATCTACACCAAACCACTTACACACTTACATACTCGACGACATTCACAACCTAGCGAAGCCACTTGTCTCATGCTCTTAGACTTTACGAAACGGATCGATCAGACTTGCGAATAGCTCAGAGACACCATTTTCACCAAAAGTTCAACAGATATTTACCAGGGGACACCCATTGAACGAAAAACGAGACCTTCCGGGAGGATCACAACTAGAAAACATGGCGAGGAGTCGTCAAATGACTGCGGCCAACCGCGAGACCGCTGGCCGCAATGAGAGACCGCTTCCCCCATTCCCCGCAAAGCAAATGTTTGTTCTAGGTACGGAACTCAACTTACATGGCTTTTCCGACACTGGGTCTAACAATTGGCAGCCTGCTGCAGAATATGCGAACCGATTGCCTTCATGTCCATCTTCCCCTACATCTACTACATGATCCAAGATTTCAACATTACCGATGATTCCAACAAGATTTCAGTCTACGCCGGTATGGTCACCTCCGCTTTCACATTGGCCGAATTCTCGACAGGAGTTCTTTGGGGACGACTTAGCGATAAGATTGGCCGAAAGCCAGTGCTTCTCTTTGGTCTGTTGGGAACTGCTCTGAGTGTCTTGGTTTTTGGTTTCGCCCCCAGTCTGCCAGTCGCACTCTTTGCGCGTGCCCTTGGAGGTCTCCTCAATGGGTATGTTTTTCGGGAAAACTGCTTGGAATGCTCAATTAACATATTTCAGCAACATTGGCGTCCTTCAGACAACTGTCGCCGAGCTTGTTACTGTAAAGGAACATCAACGTAGGTTGAGTCTGAAAATCAGATGAGAATTTGAGAATTAGGTTAACATATCATCCAGCCCGAGCTTATACTATCATGCCCATGGTGTGGTGCATTGGGTAAGCCATACATACTCGTGCAGTCATTGACAGCAGTTGCTGACTGAATTACCTATTTAGATCGATCGTTGGGCCTATGATTGGAGGGGCTCTCGCACGACCATGCATCAGCTACCCCGAGATCTTCGCTCGTGGAACCATCTGGGACCGATATCCCTACCTCCTTCCTAACCTCTTCAGCGCCGCCACCGTCTTCTTCGGAGTCATCATTGGACTTCTCTTCCTGGATGAGACTCATGCTGAGAAGAAGGCTCAGCGAGACCGTGGTCGTGAGGTTGGAGATTACCTTGCCAGCTGGTTCGGTGGAGTTGCCAAGTGCAACGGACGAGGCCGCTCTCCCGAGAAGCAGGCTCTTCTTGATGGAAAGCAAAACGTTCAGTATCTCTCGACCAGTGTTCGCCCTGGCTCTGCTCACTCTGACGAGGCCCTGCCTGCTTACCGAAGCCAAGAGAATTCGCCCCGACTTGCTCCTCAGCCTGACACACAATCCCTGAACGAAGCCCCCTTGGAACCCATTGTGGTGCGAAAGCCCAAAACTTTCACTAAGCCTGTCATTATGAACATTATCTCTTATGGCATTCTCGCCTTGTAAGTTTCATCTTCACCAAAAGCTTCATGCAGTCTCTAACACATTACAGCCACACTATGACTTTTGACCAGCTTTTCCCCGTTTTTCTGAGCACCAAGCGACCTGAACACCCCGTTCACGACCTCCCCTTCAAGTTTACCGATGGATTCGGCCTCGAGACTAAGATGATCGGTGTCATCATGTCGGTTCAGGGACTTTACTCACTCCTCTCCAACTATCTCATCGTCCCTCCAGTTACCCGACGACTTGGTTCTCTCCGCCTCTTCCGAATCCTCGCATTCTCGTACTTTGCGCTCTACCTGGTCACCCCCTACCTTGTGCTACTCCCCGAATCTATGAGAATGCCGGCCATCTACCTCCTTGTCATCTGGAAGTGCACCTTCTCCACCATGGCCTACCCCAGCAACGCCATCCTGCTGGCCAACTCGGCACCATCTAAGCAGGTTCTTGGAACGATCAACGGAATTGCGGCCTCAACTGCCAGCTTGTGCCGTGCTTTGGGCCCAACCCTGTCTGGTCTCCTTTACTCTTGGGGTCTTCAGACTGGATACTCTGGACTGGCTTGGTGGTTCAGCGGACTTATCACCATTGTTGGAGCATATCTCAGCTCCCAAATTACTGAGGGCGGACCTCAGGAGGACGTGATGCCCGAGGAAGATCCTCTCTTGGACGAGGGTCTCTTCACCGACTACGACGAGGAGGAGAGTGTTTAAGGAACCAGTCAACATGAAACAACAACATACGGCTTGGATTTTCACCCGGAGTTTGAATGTTTCGAGCAAGCGAGAAATCGAAACAATCTGGCGTCATTTCTTTTAGGGACGGATTGTATAAAAGGGCATGCGAGGCCCATGTCGAAAAATACCCCTTTTTTTTCTTCCAACACAGCGATCAGGCATGGAACAGGCGTTTTACAATAAGAGGGAAAAAAGAAGACGGATGAACTTGGGAACTCTTTTCACGAAACATAGACTATGGATTCATTCAACGAACGAAGGATTCAACGACAAAGTAGAAGGACAATATTTTGGGAAGGAAAATTTTTGTAATGGATTTTGCTACACGGCCGATGGCACCAGCCCATGCTGTATCGTCAACGACAGGACCCCGGAGGTTTAGAAGGCGTTTTTCGGTATGGGGGTTCTTGGTGGCCTCGAAGTTGTCGGTAGCGTTTGTTTTCAGACTTTTAAGAGTTTGCTATTTTCAGTTCTGGCTACCTCACGGGGCCAAACTGGCGGTGTAAGAAAGAATAGTGCCAGTGGCAGTAATTTCAAGACTGCCGTCTCATTGAACAAAGATATATGCATGCAACTACTTTCTGCGCGGTGCCTGAGTGACATGAAGATACATAGACGGTGATGCTCGATATGCTTACGCATGCTGCAGCTGAAATGGCAGCGGTCAAAGTGCAGAGCGTGCGTGACACAGCATGGCCGAAGACAACAATGCAGCTTGGTTTGATACATATGACAGTTTCACATAGTAATCGAGGTACCTGAGCATACATGTAGTCGCAATGTAGTTGCTTTAGACCTTGTGGTTGACCTCGTGATAAATCCCGTGCAACCGCAGCGTAACATCAGGCAGCCAGGATGTGAATTTCCTATAAAGGATATAGACAGACTCGTCTGTATGTCGGTAACCAAAAAGGCATCGAGAAAAGAGGACAGAAAAACGAGGTAACAATACCCTTGTCGAAGGAAACCCATGATCTGATGATACAAGGGGAACTGTTAGTAGCGGCGAATCTGTAAGAGCAAGGGTGAATTGGATGGTTGCAGTCGGGAATCGCACTTGCTTGAAAGTTATCGTGGAAATCGTATGAGTTTAATCAATTTCAATATTTTCTGCTTCAATCTATTCGCGCGCTCTAATGGATGTTTGGAGCTTGAACTGAGGTTGGGTGGTGTGGAGAGAGGCTAAGAATGATGGAGAGGATGGACCCTTGCTGCGTGTTGCAGAAGTTTGTACACCTTTCGAACGAGGTAAATAGCGGCAGGAGAGATATGATTGACCTGGCTGTGACAAATCGTGGTAGGAAAGGACCATTGTTGGTAATTAGTGTAGATCCTCCATGTGTGACGCTTCAAAGTTAGCATGAGGATATACTGAAGCATAGTCGAAGCGGGTAATAAGGAAACAGAGATCGGGTAACCAGGAATTCGGAATTTCTTCGTGAGCTTATTCATGCCTGTGCAGCTTACGAATACGGTGACCGGCATCTCCAGTCGGGAATCGGAGAACATGTTGGTTGGTGTTGGTGATGATGCAGCCAACCGCCAGGCTCCATCCGATCCGGTCAGGCCAACGGAGCCGGATCAGCGATATATTCACTGAATATGATACGGTGAGTAGTGTAATTCGGCATAGCGAGATCCTTATACACTCAAGAGGAACCCGAATATAACTCAAACTAACCGCTTCGTCTTCTCTTCTCACTTACAAGCAATACTCAAATCAAAAACCGAAAAGCGGGACGTCTCATGTATACAACTGCACTGTGCCGCTGTCAATGCCCCAATGGGGTATCTGGCGGCGAAAGCTGAGAGCAGGATGAAGGGGACCGGTTATAAAGCCGGACAACTTCGGATACAAGACTGACATCGCGATGACTGTGGTTCTCTCTGCGAGTAAAAAGGAAGAAAGGAAAGGAAGACAAGAGCAAGCACTGATAGGATCATTCGTTGTCATGATACGCCTCAAACTTGTAAGTCTGGTTTGCAGGAGAGGATCGAAAGGATGATAAACAGGGCGTTTTTAAGGTGCTGCATGCCAAGAATACTAATTCCCAGATTTGCAGTTGTCTTCTGAAGGCTTTCTTCCTCATAGAAATGATGAGTTGAAAAGGAATAAATTAGCCAATACAAGGAAGGAGTCAATTCATAGAAAATTGATCTTTCCCCCACCTGCTCGCTACAGGATTCAGCTGTGATAAATCTGGAAGGACCCTTGCCTGGTCATTGACAGCACTTGCACTTTGACCAACGAAGAGGGTCTTTCCTTCTTTGCTTTTTTCTTGCGGCTTGTTTGCAGTTTTGAGAATCGAGATAATGTATTGTTATCGACTCTCAGTATGCTTGCTCTTTAACTACACTACACTCTTGTCTTGTATGGCTGTCTTAATCATTCTGATATCTACTACCTGGATCCTTGTGTCGTATAATCCGGTTGAAATTTTCCAATTGCTTACAACTGGAAACTTCAAGACCCTTGTTTGTCTCCATTCTCCATGAAACAAACGTGACAATTATCATCATCACAGACTCATCCAGAAGCGGCCACCAACCACCGTCACCTCCACCTCCACCTCCACCACAAGATATTGCCTCCTACTGAGGAATATGCACTATTGATAGGTCCCCTCTTTCAGGGACCACTTGCCATGATTTTCGCTTAGGTCAGGCCCCAAATTTGTCTCGACTTTCTACGACGTTGACAGCCAGAATAATGGTTCTTGGGGCCAAGCTCCACGATACCTTGGTTGATCCCTGCAGACAACAAATAGTCAGCAAAGAAGGTCTTGCTTGTTTGACTGATGATCTAGGTGGCCAATTCTGGAAGATTTAGGCAATTCGGCACCTATTGGATCTCATTATATCGTCCTCTTCCCATATCTTTGAACCCCCAATTCATCAGATATCAGCTATAATACGGTTGACAAACGTTAGCGGCTACAGCGGCTCGTCGATCCCTTCCCGCCTTATCCATATCCTTCAATTGTCCAGCTCCTGCCTTTTTGTCTCATCTATCCCACCCATTCAGTTACCGTACTCAGAATTGCGCTTACCTTCTCCGCCCGTTCGTTCGTCAATTGTTAGCCCCGACCGGAACACTCAATCTACCGTTCCGCCTTTCACCTGCCACCTTCCGTCCCCGTCTCCGTCCCCCGACTAAGCTCAAGCAAGCTCAAACCCACTCTCCGTCTCCATCATCAATTCAGAGACGACAACCTAAGACCGACGCCTTGGATATTGCTTTCTCCGGCTGATCTGCGTCACTCCCCCCGAGCCACTTCACTTCATCTCCGACCCCGTCGCAAACTTATCGGCGCCGTCTTCGGTTGCCCGCCGGGCCGTTACAATGCCTGCGCGTGGCCCTCCGTCTCCGAGCTCGCAGCCCGCAAAGCGACAGCGACAGAACTCGAATGACGATGGATCGCCGCGCAACGGCCAGCCGAGCCCCCAGGATCGTGAACGCGAACGTCTCCAAGCCGATGGCGCTTCAGCATCCTCCACTACCGCCTCTCCGTCCGTAGCGGCCAAGGCAGGCCAGAGCAGCAACTTTCGCAACGTCAGCGCCTGTAACCGTTGTCGCCTACGTAAAAATCGTTGTGATCAGAAGCTACCGAGCTGCGCAAGTTGCGCCAAGGCAGGAGTCGCTTGTGTTGGCTATGATCCCATTACAAAGAAGGAAATCCCACGCAGGTACGACAAGACAATGGAAGTGCGCGATTGTCCAGACGTGTAATCTTGTGATCATCACAGACTCGACGCCGCGCCACAAAACCTTTGAAAAGGATCAATGAGCAAATGTTAACCTTGCGCGCAGTTATGTTTACTACCTCGAAACCCGAGTCGAGCAGCTCGAGAACCTGCTCAGCGCCAATAACGTCACCTTCCCCCCGGCCGAAAATCTCGAATTATGTTCTCGAATAGGCACCGACACCGCCAGTATCAACTCCGCCACCGAAACAGGTTATTCCGGACCGTCAGAAGCCGGCGACCGTAGGCCTCAGAGTCAGGCGGTGGAATCGCTTAAGAAAAAGTCGGGCCAATCAGGGTTCCTCAACATCGTGAGCCCCTCGAAACCTCGGTCTTTGGCATCCGCGTCCGGTGTCTCGTTCGCGCGGGTCGTTTATGCTGCAGTTCAGTATTCATCCTCTGGTCAACCGAATCCGAATGATCCAAGGAATCCTCGGCAACCAAGCGGCAATGGGGCATCGCTGCGCGATTCGTTCTTCGGCCTTCACACCAGGCCGTCTATCAAGCCTGCAACTTTCCCTAGTAAAGAAGTTGGCTTGCGGCTTGTGAGGCTATACTTTGAACATTCGAACCCTCAGATCCCAATTCTGCACAGGGGAGAGTTTATGCAGACATTTGAACGTATATATGCTACTCAGGATCCGGCCCGAGGCTCGCGAGAGCTGTATCTGTTGAATATGGTTTTCGCCATCGGTTGTGGTGTCATTGTTGGTGAGCCAGTGAAATCTGACTCATCTGGCGATGCCGGTGCGGACAACAAAAGTCGATGTGAGCCAGAAGAGTATCACGCGAGCGCAATCGTGCACCTAGAATCGTGTTTAAGCAACAGTGGAGGAGGGTTAGAAGTTTTGCAAGCCGTGCTTCTTCTGGCCAATTTTGCTCTGCTTCGACCTGTTCCCCCTGGCCTCTGGTATGTGCTGATTGATCGTATGTGGTATGTGAACTCACCTGACTGACACGGACCAGGTACATTATTGGTGTTGCGGTTCGACTTGCAGTTGATCTCGGCCTGCACTATGAGGATGACAGGGAAATTGATTCCCTACCTAACGAAAGTGAACAGACTGATGGTGCTGGCTCTCGAGAGAATGGAGCCCAAACCCGTGGAAAGAAGTTATGGGTTCGAGATATGAGGCGCCGTTTATGGTGGTGTACATACTCTCTTGATCGCCTGGTTAGCACATGCGTTGGAAGACCATTCGGCGTCAGTGATCAGGTCATCACAACTGAGTTTCCGTCGTTGTTGGACGACGACTATATTACGCCGACCGGGCTCCTAGATCCACCATCAGATCAGCTTCAACCCAGCTACAAGCATGTTGCCCATCATTACTTCCGACTGCGGCTGCTGCAGTCGGAAATTCTTCAGGTATTGCAGTATAATCAAGCTCAGATCGCCAAGGCGGGTGTGCAGGGCAAGTTCCCGGATATGCACATTCACCTCCCATCGCCCTTCCTGGTGCAGTTCGACTCGTTCCGTTCATGGCGCATAGATATCGATCGAAGGTTGTATCAGTGGAAGACGTCGGCCCCATCGAGGCAAGAGACAGGCGTCATGTTTTCGACCGAGTTCCTTGAGCTCAATTATTGGCAGGCGATCATCATGCTCTATCGTCAGAGTCTCAGCGTTCCCGCCATGTTTGAAGGCGAGTATAATTCATCGAACGAGGTTAACAGCCCAACGGCGTTCCAAGCAGAGCTTCGTGAAGACGAGGATCGAATCTACCTGAAAGTTGCAGAGGCAGGCCAAAAGATTCTTCGCATTTATAGACAACTCCATCTCAGTGGGTTGGTGAGCTACACGTATCTTTCCACCCATCACCTGTTCATGGCAGGAATCTCGTACCTTTATGCTATTTGGCACTCGCCCATCGTACGAAGTCGCCTGGTAAGCTTTGACGGAATCCAGAGTCCTCGGAGAAATGAGCTAATAGTGGATCTAGAGCATGGATGAAGTGGACTTTACTATCCTCGCTGCCAAATCGGTTCTCACAGATATGATCGACAAGTGCCCTCCCGCCGAGACGTGCCGAGATGCGTTCGATCGAACAGCCAAGGCCACTATTAAGATGGCCTCTTCAACAGGCGGTTTTGGTGCCCCGACGGCCCGAAGACAACGTTCTGCGTGGAACACACCGCCCGACTCATCGAAAAGCTCGACGCAAGTACGTCACCGGCCGCAGGGCTCAGATCAGGCGTCTTATCAGATTGATTTGTCGCTGTCCGACTCACTCTCCTCTCCTACGCTGTCTGTTGCAGGCGACGGGAATGCACAGCCATCACCCCCGATGGCACGATCAGCAGAGGGATATTTGCTCAAATCGCGAAGTCGAGGTGGACCAAGCCCTACAGATTCTGGCCATAAACAAGAGGGATCACCTATAGAAACGGGAATGGTTCTTTCACCTATTCCTCGACGGGTGACATCCCAGCCCAACGGTGGAGGATCCTATGGTGGACAACAGCAGCAATTCAACGGACAGGACTACCCAGATGCTCAAACGATGGAGTTCCTCCAGAATTTGGGCGCCTCTTCGAATGGAGAATTTACGGCCATGGACCAGTCGCAGCTCGATATGGGGCTCAGCATGAACTGGGAGGGTCTTCACCACGACTTTAGCGAGGCGCCACAGATGAACCCCTTTGACACGTTCTTCTTTGGTGGTCCCCAAGGAGGAGGCGGCCAAGACGGCGGCATGAACATGTAAGAAGATGTTTGTTGGATCTGTTTCTGTCTTTATTGCCGGCGCGTTGGCTTGCTTTCTTGCTTACCTGCAGACGCGGGTCTACTCAATGAAATGGGTGGCTCTTTATGGCATTTGGTTATGTTTCAGTACATCAGAAGGCCAGGGTGCCTTTCTGTTTTGAGGGTACAAAAGTAGATGTTGATATTGGAAGATGTGGAGAAACTTCAAGAATAAGATGATGGTCTACTGTTTACTATCATGGTGAGTTATGAAGATATGGAGCAACTGGGTAGATATGTGATATCATGAAACAGGCATACCGCTGATAGAAAAGGTGAAGTGGGAGGTTATGAGCTGATGTTACCAATCTTTTGTCTATATACAGGTAGTTTTTGTAGAGACTCTCTGGGTATCTATCGAAATGAAAGCCTCGATTCGAAGACTCGACGCTCATTCTGACCTCTTCTCTTCTGCTTCGTTTGTGCATATTACTCATTCTTTCCAATGTACATCATACTCAATTCTGTCTCGTCCATTCAATACTCCCATCGATCTATGCATCCAACGTCCAAAATATGTCGTAAAGTCGTAATTAAAACAAACTGAAGAAATAAAATACGCAAATCGTCGTCACTATCCTCCACTATCGATCTCGGCTATATCGTCTGCTCTCCCTTCTAGGCGAGTAGTCTCTCGGGGAGTAATCTCTTCGATACCCTTCTCCCATCAACGGCTCTCGACGATATCGGTCTTGACTCTGCCGACGTGATCGTCGTGGGGGAGAAACGCTGTGCTCCTCCTCAACAACAATCTCGTTATCCGAGGAAATAGTCGATTCTTGAACGAAGCGCGGCGCCGGCGGATCAACGATAATTCGCTCTCCACGACTATCACTGACAAGAGGCGATGTTCGTCTTCGACTCCTATCCCTCGAATTCACCGTCGTGCGCGATCTCGTCCTCTTGGATCTAGACGTAGCCCTACTCCGCGATCTATTCCTCGTTCTTCGGTCCCTTCTGCTCCGGAAACTTATATATGTCGACGTATCGCCCGTAACGGTACTCATAGGCCCGCCTGAAACAACAGTCGATGCGCCATCGACTGTTCTCACGACTGGACCGCGGTGCAGGAGCATGTAGATGATGTACAGTAGGAGGAGAAAGCCAGCGACGGAGCCGAGAACGATACCGGCTACGACACCAGGAGCGAGGGAGTTATCGGTGTTTTTGTAGGCTGTTGGCACAGCGGTGAAGGAGCTGCTCGGGTCGTCGTTTTGGCGGACGGAGAGGGAATTGTGCCCTGAGGGTATTGTTGACGATGGTGGAAGGGCTGGCATTTTGGTTGGTGGTTGGTTTTGATATTAGGTTTATTATATGTTTGGAAATAGCATGGCAGTAGATCGTAAGAGCAAAAGGGTATAGCTCTTAGGATTGAGAGAGTTTTGAGATGAAAAAATTAATGAGGTTGTTGTTGGAGATGGGACAACACGACGCAGCTCGGCATTTCCCATCCATTAAAGACGCTGCACGTCCCCCCAGCCACGTCCTTTTTTCTAATCGAGCGTCATGGCCCTGCACGCGTTTAATGGAAATTTAGACACGAAGCATCAGTCACATAATATATGTGTAATGAGCATTTCAATCAGAATATAAAAATATTTCAAGTATTTATAGTTCATCATTCCAACACCTCAACTCCCGATATCTTGATATCGTCTTCTACGACATCTACATCACGGTTACTCCGGTGCCGAGGCAACATCTTTAAAAACAACATTAGACTTGTTTTTATGGCTAGTCAGATACAAAGCCATCTATCACTACTATCGACCATATGCAGCCTCGAATAGTCCTTTCCTTTGGTACGCCTATACATGGATATCATCCCAAGACGTGGCCGCATATCCGGAAATGCTCCTTCCAGCCCGACCGTTCTATATTTTACAAGTGTTGACCAGGAGAGAAATTTTATCCCAATACAAAGAGAATAAACTAACAGTGTTCCGAAACGCCCAGTGTCGTTTCGGGTAATCAAGGAATCCGCATCAAACGCTCCGTCAAAGTTCGTAACAGTATAAACAAGGAAAGGGTATATAGCATGAATCAAGACGTTTAAGCCTTGACTTGTAGTTTGGGTGGAAGAGGAGGTAGCGCACAGGTTGGTGGTGGCACTGGTGGAGGCCCTTCGCCCAGGTGAGGCATGCTCCTTCGGTTGAAAAGGCTCTTCCCGTTCATATCAAGCCTCAAAAGAGGGTTGTTCGCTGATGCGGGAATTGGAGGCAGAGGTACTGTGGGTGGAGGCGCAGGTAGAGGCAGCGACTCTGGCGCCATCGGGGGTGGAAGCTCGCCTGAAGCGCTATACTGAGATGCCCGGTCAGACATCACTGACTGAATACTCGCCCGTCTTTGTGACCGAGCCTTGGCTGACATGCTGTCACCTCGTGCATCACTATACGTATCCAGGGAGGCACGGCGACGGGCTGCCTCATCGGCTCCACCAAGAAAAGATCGCGAACGTGTTCTTTGTTCCAGGCTGGGCCGAGTTGAGCTGGGAACATTACGTCCCAAGGTACTGGGATTTTCCGACTTGCGCCATTGCCTCAGGTCTGATTGTCTGCGCGAGCTGCCTGGGCGGCTGATCTCGATGGCTGGCTCTTCTATTGGCACAAGGCTCGAACGTCGTGATGTCACTTCATATGAAGTGGGAATATTTGGCAGAGACGGCAGATCATCTTCTGCCGGAATGGTTGGCTGAGTTTCGTCTCCGTGCCGTGTCACTGGCCGTTCATGGATGTCCTCCATTGGCGACGGTTGGTCAGCTACCATGGATAAAGGCCGCGCGATTGGTAAAGTCGTTGGTGGTGCTCGGCGACCCAAAGATCGCACCTCCAGTGTACCTGACGGAGGAGCCATGCCAAATTCCTGGGCCATAGTCTTTGCGTATGAATATCTTCGGTTCGACGAATTGGGTACACTGAAGTTAGGTGTTGGTGCCTTCAAATCAGCTGCACCAGATCCATAGCTAGATTGCGGTCGTAGGTTGATGGGTCCGCCTTGCAGTTCGACAAAGGGGGTGAGAACCTGCATAGATTGTCTTCGGTCCAGAATAGCTGCAGCGTTAGGCCTAGGCTTCGGCTCCGGTGAAACCTTTGCCTCCTCTAGCGACGACTTATGCTCAACAGGTGCAGAGAAAGTATCGACGGTTGGTGAAGACGCCGGTGAGGATCCTGCAGACGTTACGACTGTCCGTTGGCCGGATGATATGAACGAAAGGCGGTTCGAATTTTCTCGCAAGCTTTCAAGTTGCCTGCCATCATGCGATACGAAGCTATTTGTCGTCGAAATATCATCAAGGGGTTGATCGACCGTAGGCTCAGGGTCAACAACACTTGTGACCGAGCGGTTGATCTGTGTCTGACTTTGCCATTGTAGATTCTGGGGAGGCAGAAAGCTGTCGGGGCTTTGAGGGCTCTGAGAGCTTGAGCTTGCTATGCGTGATAACCGATTAGGGTCTCGGACTACCAAAGTCCTTTGGCTAGGTTTCTCTCGTAGTGGTGCAACTTCGTCCTCGGCCTTTGGTTTGCCTGTCTCGGTAAGTGTCTTCTTACCCCCCAGTGCCTCGATTTCACGGCGCAATGTTGAGATCCAGCCTTCCATATCCTCGGCAGTTTCAAATACCATGAGGAAGTTGGAGACATGGCGTCGTTCAGTAGCCCGGAAATTCCATCGCGAGAATAAAGAACGAGAGTCTGATGCTGTTGTTCCATCAGACTCTGCAGCTGCAGAGACCTGAATTACCCAATGGCGGCCGGGGATCACATCGCTTGCAAATGCTGCAGAATCTTTGCCGAGGTGCAATATTCTTTCAGGCAACCGGTCGAAGGGTCCTTCTGCTGCATATTGCAGCAAATATCCGGATGTTACAAGAACGTAAATCTTGTTGGTCCATTCAAACTTTGGGAAATGTCCGGAGGTATTGCGACGATGCTTCTTCTTAACCTTGGCCTTCTCACCTTCAGCATCTGGTGCTTCGGTATTTTCGTCACGCAGTGTGCTAGCTCGCCGCTCGTGCATGCGTAGAATAGCTTCAGGTGCCAGTGATGTAGCTGGCAATGTCATGTGTTTGGCAGCCTGTGGAAATGCTTTAAATAAAGGTGGAGGATGCCATATCGAAAGTGGCCCACGCCCAGGTTTGCCAGGCCCCTGGGCTCTAATAAGGCCAACAGGTCGTGGTTGAGCTGGTGGGCTTTGCTGGCTTTCAAACATGGTAGCTAAAGGGCGCGGGCTGCGAGGGGACGAGGGCAAATCGTCGAACACTGCATCAGGCTGGGCTGGAAAATAAGGGTTCGTTTCAGGGAGTGATGTACGGCTTCCAAAGGATGATGGCGTTTCAGGACTGGCCAAGTGCGTCTTTGATCGACTGAATAAACTTCGCAGTCCTAACCTCGACTCTCTTCTGCTTGCCTTTTCAGCTTTCAAAGGCCCGCGATTCTCCTCAGCTGCCATTGTGTCAATATCCGGGGGACGAGTTCTTCGTGCTGGCGCATGATGGCTCTGAAGCGCTTCTAGAGTACCACTATGGGTCATGAAAGAATCTCTGAAAGACATATTGGCGAAATACAAAAGGCGCGGTAAGTTAATGACTTAGCAATGCGTTATAGTCAGCAAGCTAAACGGTAGGCGTCGGTGTAGAAAGCGTCTGCTGGTGATATGCAGAACAGAGCGGCATAGGTAGGGTACCGTGCTGCTCAAATGCAGGCGGTAACTCGAACACCTTTGTATGACAGAACTTGGGGATGATCCTAGGACAAAGTCTCGTTTAAGAATTGCGCGGCATGTATTCGTGCGTTTAAAAGTGTAACCCGGACCGAGGCTGACCGGAGGTGGGATGTGAAGAAATGCGGGTTCCCGTCTTGGATGCCGTAGATCGCAGCTCAGTCAAAAAGTTCCGTCTGATATGGCGCGGATATCAACTCATACAGTAAGAGGCCCGGCATAACGTTAACAACTTGTTGCCCAGAACGGAAAGTAGAAGTAGTTGCGGGACGTTGGTGGTTGCGAAAGTATAGTATAGGTAGTGAGCAACAAAGAGTGAAGATTGAAGAGAGCGATTCGGGTCAATGAGCGAGAGTGAAGCCGAAGCCAACGAGACAGACTGTATATGAAATAGCGAGCGACGAGGCAAAGAGAAACAGTTGAGCCAGAAAAGAGGCGCGTAGACAAACAAAACAGAAGAGAACAACAAAGACGTATTTTGGGTTGTCAAGAAAAAGAAGAAGAAGCGACAGCGGTTGTAGAAGGGGAGGGGGTGGGAATGGGAGGAACTTGTAAGCCAGCACAACCACAAGCAAAACGCAAGTGCCCTGAAGTACCTACCTTCTCTGGCCTCTTGCACCAAATGGTGTGGTACTGTGTGGTCTGCACGAACTGGGGAAGGTCCTGGACTGAGACTGCCTTATGGGGATCCAATGGTAAGCTAAGCCCACCTCAGGCACGAAGACAAGAGCCATGCAAGGGAGGGGGAGCCCCCGAGGCCAGAATTAAACAAGTCCAGGATAAGAAAGCGGAGGACACGATAAACTTTTCTTAATCGGGCGTCCTTAAAGGGAAACATTGAACTCTAGTGAGTTACTCGACATCATATCTCAAGCCTCGTTCTATGTAATCGTGGTAATGGCTGGCTGGTTCGCTCAAGATGCCTCATAAAGCAAGTGCCCAGTACACATCGTATCGAACTGTTGAAAAGCACACACTCTTATTACAGGAACATCAAAGGCACGAACGACGCAATTCGATGGGTCCAGAGATGCAGGTACATACGGTACAGTAGCAAGCCCACAACCGCCCAGACAGACAACAAGTCAGCGAACGACATGACCTTAGAACATGGGCATCGATAGTGGGACCGTTCTTGAGGAGGAACATGAACAGGGACGACAAAGGCCACTCAGCGAGGCGAGCAGAGAACACAAGAGGAGACAGGGGCAGGGGAACCCTTGTCAACCTGCAAAACGGCCGTCAGGGATAATCCCGCTAGTAAGTTGGTGTTTAACTTTGGCAGTCCAGGAATCACATTCACTTTCCGCAGTCCAGATTCATGATCCTCGGCATTGTTTTTCTTCATTATCGAATATCCAAACGGATATTGAGAAAAGGCCCAAGAGTCTGGTATACGAATAAAATAAACTTACAGTTTGTGAGACTCGGTGCTCGGACCCAGTTCAACGGCTTACCCGTTGAACTATGGGCCTTTCTGGTAAGAGCACAACGTGGAATGACGGTTTTCATACGTGTGTTACTCGAGAACAGATTCACAGACACGCAACGTCTGCAAAAGAAGTGGGTGTGATGCTACTAAGCGTCAACTTTATTGGCCCAAGAACATGGACGCGGCTTTAATCGCGACACGATGCGACTCTGCTAAGCCTTCAAACTCGATCAATTATCTCAAGTTACAATGATGTTCAGTGCATGTTATCTGTGGATAATGTGGATAGAGAAACTTTGTTTTGTCCTAAATAAAGAACAGTTTTACAACAGACCTGTGTTGTTCATCGGCAATTTGATCTCATCATCACCAGTACCGGTGTATGCGAGTCGAGTCTTCTAAGCTTCTATGAAGATGGAGCATACAAGTCCTCCGTCTGACCGATTATCATCAACATACAGTCATCATGCCGCTTACAAAAAGACTCAATTCCTTTGCTACAAACTTGTCTCCGTGCTTAAACCCTGTGAACTTGGGGTTTCCAACGACTCCATCCGGGATCAGGGGCTGAGAAGCCGGTCCTAGCGTGACAGTGGACTGGTCACGATCTCATGAGGGAAGAATAGACGGGCCTCAGTCTTGTTGCCTACGAATGAATTATAATAATAAGAAATGCCTAGCTATATTATAGGTGAGTAGCTATTTCCCATTATTAAAGTGGTCTCGTCTGTACATCTGCGTACTCGGTACACTACGAACTTGACTTCATCTCCCTCCCGTCCCTTGAGGGTTGAGAAACTCTAACAGCGCGATATCGCTTCGAGGAGAAATCCTCATGTGACTCTTGCTCTCAATCCGGCAACCCTTGCTGTTTGTGCTCTACAGCCAATGACAGTAGAAGCCGCCGTGTCGCAGGTCCCGGCACACTTTTCGGAAATTCTGGTAGAAACGGTGAACTCTGCCGCTCGGCTGATCACCGATCTTTTTGATATGCCGATCACATTGACTGCCATATCACATATCAACATTCCTTTTTATCACAAATATGTCAATCAACACTAGCACAAGCCATTATGCATGAGAATCTCTAGGAGCACAAATTGATGAAGATTTTTGCTCTCATATTGGTTGTGTGTGGCCCCAGCTTTATCGCTGCCAGACCAGTGTCTCATAACGATAAAAGACGGGGATCGGTTCCTCTAGCCAAAACGTCCGATTGATATCCCACTTTCTTAGTCCTTTACGACCGGAACGGAAATACAAGGGTTGAATCATTCACTAACAAGCCTCGCCCAGCTGAAGAACATGGCTGTTGTTTCGGGACTGGGGGTCAGGTTGTTGAAAACAAGCGATTCCGCTGTTGTTCAGCTGCCTCGAGGACCCCTGGGCCCCTTACATATTCAAGATGCCTTTAGAATGACTCAAATCTCAAGCCAAATTGCAATTGAAGAACCCAATGGCTGATGCAAGTCTTGCACGTGAGGAACAGTTGGTGCAGTCATTTTGCTGGGTCTGTCTTGTCCTTCGAATGACAAGCGCCAGCATTTAACAGATGCATAGATATGACGCTCAAGAGGCGGTACCTTCGCAGAGCTGACCATTGCTGTGAAGTAATAAGCGAGCTCCTTCCTCACCGATCCTTCTCCTGTGTACCGCAGCATCTGGTGTTCAACACAATTCTGTACGACTGAACCAAGAATATCCGTGGATCTGAGGGCTGGTCCTGTCCTGTCCTGCTCTAGGATGAGTGCGGTTCCGCTCGCAGCCAGTCACTTCACGAGTTAATTTTGCTTTTCTCGGCCGCTTTTGTCAGCAATATCACAGCAAAGTGAGTCGTCATCAGAATTGTCATCCACAGCCCGGCAAATGGGGCCATCGATCGAATACGATAGCGATACCTCAGATGGACACAAGGCGCTAACCTCTTGGTTCTTTGATTTCAAGCCATTATGCAGGAGCGTGGATAATTGGGACCAGGAGATGCATCTTGTTTTGCTTTTGCTGTGTTCCTGCAGTAGTGGGCTCGACTAGGCTTGAAATTGTCTGGCTCAAATGCCAACTTCTCGCAAGCATGGGCGCAATTTCTGCTTAGCTCACCTCAAAAACAACCAAGAAAGTTGCTTTGAGTAAGACAGTCCCATCTATTCAAACCTGAAGGGCGATTCTCCCTACTTCTGGCGGCCCGGCCCCTTGACCAATTAATCAATCTGGAGGCCATGTCTCAGCTTCATCCAGCCAACTTGTCCAAGAACCAAGATCTATCTGATGCGGTGGAGGACTGACATAAACAGTCTCTCGACCAGCAACGACAAGACACGTCGAGTCCAATTTCCCACCAAAACTCGGGAGCAATTAACATCAGGGATCTGGTGGTTTTAGTGCCGGAAGCCACGGTAGTTGACGTTGATATTAGCCAGGAGACAAGGGCTTTTGGCACAGACAATACCGCCAGTCTGGCTGGACCATACTAGCTGAACGGCGAGAAAGAAAAAAAAAAGAAAGAAAAAAAGGACGATACAGCGGAATGACACCTTGACTGTGAGGCCAGCATGGATAGCCTGGCGGATCGACGTTGCGAACCGATATACCGGTTTACGAATCTTAGGTGGCTTGTTTTACTACAGCAAGACGAGATGAAGATGTCCAACATGTTTGACTTTTTCAGCAAGTAAACAGCCGTTTAGCTTCTGTCTTAAATACACAAGTCCCCGCGGGATCTAGATCCGTCTTGTACCGGGTTATCCATCTTCAAGGACAGGGTACCACTGGGAGGAAAGACGACGTGTAATTCAGAGGCTGGGATGAAGTTATTTCCTGACCTGGAATAGTTACATATTAGGCATCCTTTTTTCTTTAAAGTTCGTGAGTTATTGTAGACGAGATGAAATCTCAAGATAACATCAATGCTTGTACCTGAGCCCGAGCAGTGTACCAGCTTCAGCCTCAGTACTAAGGCGCTTGTTTTCTCTTCCCTCCTCATAATCAGCCACCGTAGACTCATTTAACGTACCTGAACTTTCTTACAGGACCCTTCAGCCATAAGCCACTGACATGCGTCTTACACATGTTCAACCAACGATTAAAAAAAAAAAAAAAAAAAAAAAAAAAAAAAAAAAAAAGTTGTCCTTTAGTCAATTGAAGGGGTCTTGCGGGTCAAAGCTGTGAGAATGGCGTGTTCTCAACGCCGTCATGTTTCATCATCAACGCCCTCAAAATCCTGGCCGTTGAGGCCTGTCCTGTCTGTTGAGCTTGGAGCTGTTGGTACCCTTCTGTGTCAGATTCACATGAAACATGCAAATGAGTCGGCGCAGTGAATAGACATGCATGTGTGTTGCGATGTTGGGATGACTAACTTGATATCTGTCTCAAGTGTAGTGAGGGTTCGTTACATATTTATACCGTTGTCGATGACGGCTCGTGATTCTTTATCGTCGCTGTGCATATTACTTTTTACTGTTGAAGATCCGGATAGCCTGTAGTTGTGAGACTCTGGCTTGAAATAATACCATGATGCTGTGGTCATCTGTCATTGCGAGTAAACCATGTATCACGACTCTCCAAGTTAAACCGATACTATGATTCTATTGTGCAACGAATTGCTCACGATGGCCTCGACCAAGAAATGTGTCATTGATTCCAGGTCATCACGGTTAACGAGTCTAATTCCATGTCTGCGTGACCTTTTGATTGGAATCATGAATACAGTGTCTTGACCAAGCTGAAAGCAGCACATGCCCAGGGAGAAGTTGAATTTGGAGAGCGATAGCGGAGTATTGTTCACTGTAGCAAAGTTGCCCCAGCCCCCGCAATCGACTGATATGCCCTGTGACCTCTATCGCCGAGCCTGGAAGCTTGGTTTGGAGTCGTGATCAGCACACAAGCAGGCCACTCGTCAGCAACTCCGCCGCAGACTTACTCATTGCGATCTGGTTTCGGTGATCACGATGGACCTCGGGTCTGAATCAACTCTCCTCTAGTATTCATATCCTATCAAATAACCATAAATCCTATTTTAACCTGTATCCTTCGATATACACACGCATAAATTGCCCTGTAGTACATGCATACCTTACCTATACCCTATCCGCCTGTTTTGCTACAACCCCTCCACACCTACGGTTCAAACAAACTGTCAACGTAACTCAACCAATCGTTTTAAGAACGTCTTCCTAATTCTGACGTATTCACCGACTCTCCTCATATACTTCTTTTTTGACGCTCTCTTCTTTCTTTGAAAACGTTTATTAGTTGTATAAAAACAACCAAGTGATATATACAAGGAAAGCATCATGCCGTCTCCACCACCTAACACCGCTGTTCCCCGCAGCGAGTCGCCAACAAGATCCCCGCGATCAGCTTCGATATCGTTGCAAGCTGCCGCGACCATGAATGCTGGACTTCAACACGAATCTCCACGAAGTATGTCCTCTACTAAACTTTATAAACAATCAACTTGTCCACTAACGCTTGGCAGGATCGTCAAGCAGCTCCATCTCTCGGCATCAGCACTCCCCAAATACTGGTCGACGACGTTCCACCGTACTCATGAACCTACAACTTAACGACCCTTCTGTGCCTTCGCCAGGCGAGATGGTCAACGAATCATCTGGTCTACGAACTGCGAGCCCGCAACCTCTTTCTGGATCCCCCTTGACGGGTGATCCCCATCATCATAGAGCACCCAGCCTGGGCGAACTGCATCAAGAGCTTGAAGCGGAGCAAGAAGCTCATGTGGTACGAAAGATGATGCCATGTCATACACAACAACGATGGCTAACTTCTTGTTGATAGAATCGCCTCTTGCAGATGATCCGACAGCAGCAGCTCGAACTCCAGCGCCTTCAAGCTGCCAACCCCCAGAACCAGAACCAGAGCTCAGCTGTAGAAGATAGCTCTGCCATCTCCGAGCGGTCAGGTCACGGAACCCCCCACGCCTCCAGCTCTCAGGTCTCTATCCCTCCCGGTCCAACCGGCGGATCTGGTTCTCGCTCCAATAGCTACCGTCACCCTCGAAGCTCGTTCGATCTAGCCCGTGCCGACCTCCAACGACGATCTCGAACACCCAGTCGTAGTGGTGCCTCCCCACGACTTCGCGCAACGTCCATAGGTGGAAATAGCGAGGATTGGGTTCTGGGCGGCCGTGATGAGAGTGCATTTTATCAGGCCGAGACACAGATGCTGGTTCGTGAGAACCAGATGCTTCGTCACAGAGTACGAGAGCTAGGTAAGCACAGAAGCAGTTCATGTGGCTTA